ATTCGTGGACTGAAACAAAGTAATAGCTGATTGATTTAACCTTGGTATGTCACTGTGGCCAGTAAGGTGGCAGGTGTTAGTTAATGCATGCTTAAGTTATGTCAGACTTCTGAGGTGAAAAGTGGATCTTTGAGCACTTGAGAGCATCGGCTTTTTTAGTTCTCAAGGGATGTAATGGATTTGAGTAATGAAGGTTTCCAGTGGTCAAGAGCTCATTCTGTGCAGGAGAAGTAATCTTGAACTCTACCTAATTCTAACCAATAATAATAAATTAAAATATGATAGCTGTAGTGGAAATACTGTTCAGTGCGTGCTTCCTAATCTGCAGGGTGAAACTGATCTTCCTGGCCAACACCGGCAACAGTCTGTGCTGTTTGAACATCATGGTTTTTTAGGGAACACAGAAGTTCTTCTGTATTAACTCATATTCAGGAGTCTTAACTTTAGCATGGGTAGGGGCATTTGTTCCAGTAAGACATTATTACCAAACAGCTGATCTTTGAGGTGTATTTCTAGTAGGGCAAACAAGTAGCTTTTTGGTGGTCTGCTTATTCTGTACTTTGAAAGAAGGGATGTTCAAGAGTTAGAACTTCATAGTGACTACCATGGGAAAAGTTATAATGCAGGGACAAATACTAAGTAATGACTGGGGAGGGGTTACTCTGCCTTCAGGTAAAAGCTCGAGATCTATATCTTTTCATGATGTATTCAGTAATGCATTACTGGAAAGTGGTTATAAATTCCTCTCCTCACCCTCAGTTATTAGAAATCGGGGACTCATGTTCATTATCATCTTGCTGCCTTACCAGCTGATACAGAGAGTTACAAATAATTTTTGCCTTATAAAAACCTTTAACATGTAGGAGGACATGGGTCTCGCAGGTCAAAGTGCCTCCAGTGGCCAACATTTTCCAGGTTTTACTGTTTGCTCTCTTACAGACCATGTCTAAATAGACCACAAAATATTTGATGTATTTATCCAGGAGAACTTTTAGCAGTATTATGGACAACATTAGAGTAGAAAATTATATATTATACAGTACAGATGGTGCTCATATTGACACAGGGCAGTATGACAATTGCAGGTTTTGAAAATTAGTAACGTTTTTTACTTAATGCAGCTGGTGATCCACTTTCTCTGCCAACTCATTGCTTACCTGGTTATTCTTCATCTTGCATTTGCGTTTTTGAATTTTCCTGAGTATACCATCACACACCTTTACCAAAATCTATCTTGTGGATTTTTAAATCGTATTTTCAATTTGTGAAAACAATTTTGTATGCTAATGTTGGTACCAAGATTTTCTGCTTTATTAGTTCAGTATTATCAGACCATTTTTTAAAAAATACCCTTGCTTTCATATTCCTTTTAGGTGAAAGTGTTAACTGAAAGCAGAAGGGGGTTGAACAAATTGCATCCATGTCAGATTCAGATGGCACCCTACTGGAAATGCTCTCAGTGAACTATTGACATCCTCTGAGAGCAGATTAGTTTTGGCTCTTGTACAGACAACATACAGATAAAGTGTTTCTGTATAGTTTCCCTTTGAGAACATTCTGTGGCACATAGCAAGCACTAAAGGAAAGGTTTTTCATAATATATGGCTTCTCTTTCACCTCATCTCAAGTAACCCTGTCAAGGAAGGTTTCTTAAGAACAAATTTAGTTTTTGATGCAGTTTCAAATTCACTTTGGATTAAGACTGTAAAGATTTTTCTGTTCAGCATATTTATACTGATAAGCCTGGGGCATTGTTAGCAGTGTACTGTTTCAAAAGTCTGCAAACACAGGGATCTATGTTTTTGTGGCAGTGCTTTATTTTTCCCCAATGTTTAATTTTGTGGATGGCAAAAGTGAATTCAGAGGACTCATTCCACCATCTCAAAGGATTAATGCATTGAGCCTTTTTATCTAGCCTTTTCTAAACTTGTGCAGCTAAAAGCAAACATATGCTAACAAGTACACAAATATCATTTTCTCGTGTGTTTTAGTGCATGTACAAGGAAAGTGGATTGGAACGTTACAGATGTTTATTAAAGAGCCGCCAGGTTTTTCCATGGTAGCAATAGTTTCTAAACTATTTGATTGCCATCAGTATTAGGGTTTTGACAAGTACATTGTTTTATTTTGTTCCAGCAACCCAAAGAGCTACTCATTTCTCTGTCTCTTTCTTAGGGACCTTTTGTGTGCAAGTAGATCATGTGAGTCCTGGCAGGTCACAGTGAATAAATAGCTCAGCTGAAATCACTGTGCTTGGAGTATAACAAAGGCTTTGTTCTGCTGGGCACAATGGAGCCAACAACGAACAGTAGGAGGGTGATGTTAAATGCTGTCTCTTTGAATTTTGTTAAATACTAATGTGCACTGGAATGACAGGGACACTTGACAGCTGCACTACGTTTATCTGTCCTTGTTAGTCTCCCAAAAAGAGCATAATGATCACCTTGTTGGCTGATGTTTTTGCCATCCATGTGAAGTGTGTTTACATACAGAAATTATTTGTTACTATTCAAAATCCAATATGCTACTTAGACTGTAAATACACCGCACTACTCTCTTACTCAGCTTCTTGATTTCCAAAAAGACTTTCAAAAAGGACTCCATGAGCACAAAGTAAATTATTTTACACTGTATAAAATTTAACTTGCATCATTCCAGATCTTCCAGCTCCTTTTGGGGTACATTTTCTACCAAAATGCCATTTTTTGGGTGGTGGTAGCAAAGCCTCTGTTGGAAAAACACTGTATTTATTAAAAAAAAAAAAAAAAAAAAAAAAAAGTTTTTTCTACAGTTTTTGGAACATCTCTCAAATAACAAATACGGTGCTTACATTCTTTAGTTATCTAGGTCTTTCACGAGGTAGGGTTACTTCTCCAGGCCGTTTTATTTGTGAAGCAGTAACTATTGGATGACAGTAATTGATGGGTATCACTTCACCTGCTTTCTCTCCCTTAATTGTTGTGAACCATGAGCAAATTATGCATATTTTAATTGCAGTTTATTTGCTCTGGAAAATGTTTGGGGACTGCATGAAATTGACCACAGGATAAATCAGCCCATGAGAATGCTTTCCCCTAGGCCTCAGATTCCTTGGATTGTTGGAAAGCATGCTGAATAAATTAGTATGAAGACCAAACAAGTTGTGTGGGTTTTTTTTTGTGTTTGGCTTTTTTATTTTTATTTTTGTGGGGGTTTTTGTGGTTTTTGTTTTTTCCATGTTTTGTTTTGTTTTTTTAGCTCAGAATTTAGTGAAATTTATTTCTTCCTTGTTCCTCACACATAGATGATGAATGGAGAAGGTGAAATGGAGAAAGAAAAATGTATATTTTTCCTGTTCAGACAAGGAACAGGAGGAGGAAAGAGATTCCTTTATTAGCGTGCAGACCAGAGGAAAGGAGGAGCTGAGCTGGGAGCCAGTTCATGAGAAGGAAGTTACGTGTTCTCAGTGCCACTTCTGTAAATAGGACTATTTTGTACCTCCGGGCCCAGTGCAATTACAGCATTATTTTGTGATTCTATACTTTCAGCTGTGCAAAATGCATTGCAGGGGTACATTTACTTCCCATAGATTTCTGCTGCATACTATGAAATTTAACGTTAAGGTTTTGCGCAGCCTCTGGAGTCCTCCTTAATAATGGCAGAATTTGATATTTTTGAAGAATAGGGCCATTTGATAAATACATGTTCTAGAAGTATCTCTGTTCACTGTGTTGTTCAAAAAAAAAAAGTAAATGGAAAGTGTGAATGATTTTAGCATATTGTATTATGTAATAGGCCTGCAGCTGACGTGGGAATTAGTATTCTGATCTCTTAAACGTATCAGAATGGAATGTAAAGGTACCTTCCTTCTATTTATAAGATAAGATTTCTGTCAGTACTCGTTACCTTAAGATAGGTCAAGAGATACTTAGTGGACGACAAGATTGTGTGTTAAAGCTAATTACTATCAAATGTAATGTAGCTGCAGGTGTCCTTAGTGAACGGAGTCTGGTTCCCTGACTTACCGATCACAATAGAAAGTGATCTCCATCAGTCTCACGTTTCTGTATCAGAAGTACCATCCTTGAAAAAAACAGAAATAATAAATATGACTTAGTCTAGTGCTTATGAATTCTGGGAAGTGAAGGAAATGATGCAGTATGGGTAAGCTGTTGTCATGGTTTAACCCCAGATGGCAGCTAAGCCCACTCAGCTGTTCACTCGTTTCTCCCCAGTGGTATGAGGGAGAGAATTGGAAGGGTAAAAGTGAGAAAACTTGTGGGGATTAGGTGGTGGGGTTTTATGTTGTTTGGTGTGTAGGTTTGGTTTTGCTTGTTTGTTTGTTTTTCTGTGTGTTTTTTTTTTGTTTTTTTGTTTTTTTTGTTGACTGCTAAACTGGGATATAGACTTGTAATAAATAATCACAGTGCAGAATAAAGGTTTATGAGTAAGAGGGAGAGAATAAATTATCATCTCTTAAAAGACCTCTTCTTCCAGTCTTTAAAAAGAATCCTTATTTTGGAATTGCATCTAACTTTCGCCATGAGAACACACTCCCTTATTTATGTTTTTTTACTTCTGTTAGTGATTAACTTTCAGCCTTATAGCCTGAGTTATAGCCCTTATGAAAGCACAGGGACAAAGATGTCAGAGCAAAACTGAATTACAGGTTTCATTGTAACAAGGCACTTCAGAAACAAAAAGCTGCATTATTTTTTTGGTAAATGAAGCTGTATATATTTTAAATAGCTTTCTCTGGCAATTATCAATAGAGTTTCTAATTATCTAATTAAACAATAATCTGCATTTCACTTCCACTGAGGATAGTGAAACATTATTCTTTATGTCTACAAGTAGGATAGTTAGTCTAACTTGGCAAGATTGTTTCCTACCTAGACCTACAGCTCAGGTTTTGGTTTTGGGTTTTTTTGGTTTTTTTTAATATACAATAATTGGAAAGGCTTTTTTTAAGTTTAGGCCCTAAGCTCTGTATTTCAGAGTAAGTAATTCTGAAAAATAAGATCTGTATTTTTGGTTTTTAGGGTACCCTTGAAAGTGGAACAAGCAAACAATGCTCGTGATGCCTTGGCTAAAACAGTGTATAGTCATCTGTTTGACCATGTAGTGAACAGGGTAAACCAGTGTTTTCCATTTGAGACTTCTTCTTTCTTCATTGGAGTTCTAGATATAGCTGGTTTTGGTAAGTATACTTAAATTAATTTCTTGTTCTCTTTTATTGCCACCACCAAAGATTCAATGATAAATTCTGTAATGGAGAGGGGGAGTGCTTTCTTTTTGGTGGTTGTGGAGGGAATGGGTTACAAGGGCTTAAGAAGATATCAAGAGAGCAGATAAAGCCTCGCTTTCCAGAGACTCAAGAAAGTAGAGGAGGTCTAGAGCTTCTCCTGGTGACCTAATAACACTAACAAGCATTAGTTTGAAACTAAGCGTCATTGTAATGGTTTCAGATTCCTGTAGTGTCTATATACACACAGATTTTGAAGGACTAATAATTTGGAATGGAATCTTACCGTGGCCAGCTAGTAGGATTAGGAAATATACTGAATATGTGTGCTTTTTCCCCATTCAGTCCTGTGAAAATCACTGGATACTAGCAGCCAAATGAAGTCTCCAAATTAAGATACTGTTTCCTGGAGGGTGGATAGTGCTGTTACAGATTTGGACTTTGGGCTCCTGGTTACTCCTAGGAAGTGATGCCTAGGAAGTGGTGGGCATCGATCATTCCTGGAAAGCTTTTGTCCTGTTTTAGGGACATATTTTCATATTAGGGCACGTTTTCTGGTGTGCTCTCACCCTGCTAAGGTGGTCCATGAAGATTGAAATAGGGAACTTTGGTTTTCAGGTCTCTAGAGCTATGGTATCCTGTGCCAGCCTGTGGTAGCATGGATGGATGAGGATGTATTGGTACAGTTTTACTGTATGGTAGCATCTTTCTTTGGTTTGCTGCCAAATAAAACTGTTATTTGTCTTAGAAATCCGATCTGTTGCAGTATTTTTATATCTGTTTTATTCACAACTTGAGAATCTGTGAAAGCTTGTATTTTACTGAAAGAAACAGATATGGATCTGAATACATCTTTAAGTATTAGTACTCTGAAGCTTCTCTTATTATTTAATATAAATTCTTGGAACACTGGTTTATCATAGAAGTTTACTTTCTGTTTTTCAGAATACTTTGAACACAACAGTTTTGAGCAATTCTGTATTAACTACTGTAATGAAAAACTGCAGCAGTTTTTTAATGAAAGGATTCTGAAAGAGGTATGTTTAATGTTATATTTGAAGATTTATTTTTTAAGTAGAGAGATACTTAAAGGAGCACTGCTTTCAGTATGATTGCACATTATGCTTAGATAAAAAAAAATCAGTTGACAGTTTTCCTACTTTGTGACATCTAGTTGTGTCAGAAAAGAATACAGCTCTTTAAAAAGCAGCAGTCTTTTTTTTCCTCTTCTTTTTTAGCATTCATTAAAATGAGGCATCCATATGTTGAATAGTGCTTTATCTTTTCAATTACCTTTTCTTTTCTTTTTCCTTTCTTAGGAACAAGAACTTTACCAAAAAGAAGGCCTGGGGGTTAACGAAGTGCGCTATGTAGATAATCAGGACTGTATAGGTATGCATTTCTTGAAATGTCATGTTATTCATTAGTGTCATGGAGGAAAAAAGCTTCAAGCAGAAAAAGCAAGATACATGTAGCACTAGTAACCGTATGCTTGTAATGACTGTTGCAACCTTGTGAATTCTTCCAGCTTTGTATAACATTCTAGTTCTGGTTGGTAATAAAGCTGTGTTGTCCTGTAGTGTGTGTTAACCACATCTGGGACCTGTGAGTTTCCTGTGTGTTTTCCTAGAAAACTAAGTGGAACACCTAAATAGGGTAAATGAAATAAAGAAGGGTGTGAAAGTGTCTGGGGAAAAATATTGCATGAATTTAGAAAAAAATCCCATCCCATTCTCCCCACTTTTTTTGAGGCAATGAGCAAAAAAGCAAAATCTATAGGCAACAGGCTGTAGATGTTACTGCTGCTTTTAGGTTTCCACAGACTGATGTATCAGAGGCTTAAGGTGTTGTTGTTGCTTCCCCCCCCACCTCTTTTCTCTGCATTCAACTTGTGTTTTTCAGACTGGTGTATTATGAACAAAAGGTCATCTTGCTATTGCATTTACAGTAATTTACTTACGGTAACTAGTAAGACCTGGCTGAGCAGAGGATTCGGAGTGACAGAATTCAACATCTGTTGGAAAATGTCTGGTTCTTCTGAGGCCAGGATGGGGCTTGGAGCAGTTTGGTCTAGTGAAAGGTTTCCCTGCCCATGGCAGGGGAGTTGGAAGTAGACAGTCTTCAAGGTCCCTTCCAACCCACATAATTTTGTGGTTCTGTGATATGATTCTGTGATCCCTTCCCACCCAAACCATTCTATGATTCTGTAGCTCTGCTGGAGAAGTTTTTACTGTCAGATAGGACTGTAGAGTCACTAACTGTGACTTAACTAAAGATAACTCTTGTCAAGCACACCTCAAGCTACCTTGTGAAAAAGCAACAGGAAGGTATTTGGAGGAGGGAACAAAAGCATAGCAACAAAGTAAGTGGCTTCTGTGAATACAAATCTTGCTTCTTCTAGTGGTTTAATAGTGTGTATATGGGCCTGAGCCTGTTCCCAAAAATGTTGTTACTGTTAAAAGACTTGTTCCCTGGTGACTATTGGAAGAAAAAGTCTCTCTCTAACTCATAGTGGGTAAAATGGGTCAGGTCGTAAAGCTCATTGTAAAGTTGTTGCCTTTTCCTGCCCTGGGAAAGTTTTGGGCAGCTTACCTAAGAATACAAGTAGCAGTGCTGCAGGCATGACCCCTTTTACTATTCCAGCCACTATACGACACGCCATCACAAGTTTGACACGTTTCTCCATTATATGAGTTATTCTTATAAGTTAATAAACTACAGCTTAGTTAAACCACAACATGTATGTCTTTTCTTCTGTTCTTGCATAGTCGGGAGAAAAGTATTTCTACAGCCTTTTGAAGTGAGTGAGAAAGATAATGTTGGTTTATGTGGAAATATGCTTTTGTTTAAGATGCTGGATCAGGCTGGTAACAGCAGTGAAAATGTAGAAACATTAACTGCCACAAAAGAGAAGAATATTACGTTGGTATGAACAGTTGTTTAACACTATGGATGAATCTTAGAAACAGTAATTAGTACATTAGAATGTGTTGATGGAATGATAGTCATCTCTGTAGCTAAATTAGCTTATTCAGATTTTGTGAGCATAAATTCTTTGCTTTATATATAGCCTCATACTGTTTAAAGTCTGTGGTGAGAGTTCACAGGCATTGCTGCATTGTTAGTCATTTCTTCCTTTCCACAGAAAAAAGTGGGTAGTAAAAATTCCTCTTACAGTAACAGTTTCATAGATAATACAAAAAAGTTTTAAAAGCTGCAAAATTCTTGTGTCTAATAGTTTCAAGGGCATGAATTTTTATGTGAGCTTTCAAGGGCTTTTGTGTATGTATGTGAAAGGTCAAGGCAGTACACTTTTAAAAACTTGTGAAGCCACTATTGTATGCTAAAGTCTGATCTGCTTTTCTTAAAACAAATGCATTTAATTTTTCTCCCTGGATCCTGTTGTGAATGGAAGTATTTTTCTTCTCATGCTTTTAGCTTTGACATGTGAGATAACCAATTATGGCATAAAGACCTACGGTTATACCACAGAACTGTTGGAAACATTTAGGGACCTTTTGGGAGCTAGATGACTAAATCAAACTTGAAACCCAGAGGAAAAAACACGCAATCTATGCATTATCTCCACCACCACCCCCCCCCCCCCCCCCCCCCCCATGTTCCTTGTGTTAGAGTTAGAACTTGGTATGTATAAGACATTGATTAAATCTACAATTCAGATATGTAGAATTAATTTGAAATACTTCCTGTATTTTGTGTTAACAGCTTTTTCTAGATAACTTTATACAGAATTGGATCAATAGTATTTTAAACTTGTTCAGTTCTGATACGAATTTATATATTCAATTTTTATAAATATATTTTGTTCTATTATTAGATTTGATTGAAGCAAAATTAATAGGTGTACTGGATATTTTGGATGAAGAAAATCGTCTTCCCCAACCAAGCGACCAGCATTTTACTTCAGTTGTGCACCAAAAACACAAGGACCATTTCAGGCTCTCTGTAGGTTTATTTTTGCTGTCTGTCTTGTTTTAATAAACCAGTTCTTGGAACAGTTGAGAGTAACACTTCCAAGTTAATAAAAACCTTTCCTAAGAAATCTCATACCAGTCCAGTTTGCACAATCCATATCCTTTTGTTAAAGACAAGTTTGGTTATTAGTTTGTTGAAAAGTTCACTGAAGGCTTAAGTCTTCTAGCAGTTCTAATATCGTGCTGAAACTAAAGCCATATTCTTCACTGATACTGAGAGCTTGTTACCGTATAATGCATGAAAAGGAAACAAAACCACATTTTAATTTAGATTGTTTCATATTTAATATGAACTGTTTTGTTGTTCCTTCCAAAAATTGCTTGCTTTGGAGAATGTGACTCACATGGAGTGTCTGGCTAGCACTTCAGAGATGAAAATAGGGAACAAACAAGGAAAACTTTTTTGTTGTTAATTCTTTAACATACAGCACCTTGTGGAGTATTAATACAAATTATTGCAATTTACATTACTTCTGTTGAAATAAATAATTATTTTTTATTTATAAATAAAAAAATTAAAAAATAAATAAAATCTGGTCATTACTGAAAAAATGAAAGCAAAGGGAGCTAAATAAAATTATTGTCCATTTACCTTTAATTAAATTCCCACTTTATCTTGCTTAACTAGATTGCTGTGCAATGAAACTTTTTTGTCGGTATGTGTATGATCAGCTAGATGGTTGCATTTTAAAATATAGCATCTAAAGATATATTTTAAGCTTCTGTCTAATCGTATTCATACGACAAGGCTATTTATCAGCTGTGGAATGAATGGTATTGAAACTGTGGATTAAAGGCAGAAAGAAAATCAAAAGCTAGCAATCCTCGTGACTTTTGTTTTGAATGTGAGGTATCTTAAGGGTGTGAACGAGAATGAAAACAGGTTTTTGAGTATCTTGTGTTGAATGGGAACGTCAGTGGTCATCATAATTGTACTGCAGGAAATGTCATTTTTAAAACCTTGTGCTTCTGGCAAAGTCATGGTGATGTTTTAAGAAAAAACTTTTTTTCTCACTTTCCAGTGTAATACTTCTTTGTAATTCAACTTTTTAATTCCAGATTCCTAGAAAGTCTAAATTGGCTGTTCACAGAAATATCAGAGATGATGAAGGCTTTATTATCCGGCACTTTGCAGGAGCAGTATGCTATGAGACGGTAATTTTACTTTTGCAAAACTATTTCTGTTATACTTCATAATATTTTTTTATTTTTTCAGTTAAATAATAAAATTTCCTTTCATCAGAAGAGAAATTCAAAAGTTTATATGTCTTAGCTTTGAAACTAATTTTGTGAGTATGTGACAGAATTGACCGTTTCTTTTAACTTCTCAAATTACAGACTGACAAAATACCTGAAATTGCCATCCTCAAAATATAGATATATACAAAAACATTGAAACACCTGAAGCCAATATCTCAACTCTTATTTTTTAAAAAACAGAAGACCCATAATATCTTTGTTGTTCTAGTCTGTAACTCCAGTGTTTAAGAGCAAAACTACTTCTAAAGATGTTTGTTTCTGTCATTTAAAAATGTATACTTGTTCATATGTACTTCAAAGCACTCCAAGAATGATTATGATTGCTGTCCTGTTAGAAGTAGGCACATCCTGTAGGTCATTTTACAAATAAGAAAACTGAAGTCTGTGTGTTACCTACCTGATTTTTCTGAGGTCACTCAGTGAGTCACTGTCAAAATAATAAATAAAATTGGAACACATTTTTCCAGGTGCTCGATGTTAAACTGTAATGTCATCATGATATGTTAATAATACCTTAGTGTGTCTTCAGGAACAGAAGAGCCAGATACAAGCACATAAGCTGTGCAGTCAGGGCTAATCAGATATGAGGTAGCTTTGGTCCAGAAGCTGTGCTAATATGCTTGACTTAATTTATTCCCTCCCCCAGCGGGACTTTCTTAGCTTGGGCCTTAAAACTTTTGGACTATAGCTACCTTGTACCTCACCTGTTACTTGTTTCTCTTTCTAGCTGCACTTGGGGCAGTTTGCACAATATGACCCATGGTGAGGACACTCATCTGGCTGCGTTCAGAGTCCAATCTGGTGTTTTCATAGTCCAAGGAAATTTTGGAGGCCTGTGTTTGTCTTTTGGTTCTCATCCTTGTTAAATCTTTTCATGTGATATCTGGCAAATTCATATTTTCTTCAAATTAGTCTTGGCCTCTTCTGTTCATAATTACCAAAGTAACTATTAAAGTTGCATCAAAAGCTGTTGAGAATTCTGTTAGTGTGGAATTGCGTCTAGTGTCTTGATCTGTGTATCATTGTTTTTAACTTCTAAAATTTAGTAAGCCAATTTAAATAAACCAGAGAAGTAAGGTTTGTAGGAAGGGCAATATCATTTATTACATCAACTGTTCATAAATAGTCGTAGTACTAATAAAATACCCATTTTTCATTTCACTTTCTAAATTGTGTAAATGCACCACTTAAAGTGTGCATGTTAATCCCCGTTTCACAACAGATCTTAAGTGATGTTACAAGCAGTGAAGAATTAAGCTTCTTGCAGTTTCTGAGCGATGATGTGCTGAGTACGAGGAATGGAAACAAGGAGGATAATCATTGAGGAAAACACAACTGATCTCTTAAAAGGCACTAAACCTTACCTTGGGTTTCATGATTCCCACAACGTCCTTCAAGTTTAAAAATATCATTTCTCTCTGCCATTAGCATTTTGTGTGTCCAGTTGAAAAGTTGGGTTAATTAATGTATGAATATTTACCTCATGTATTCTTGCCAATTTTTGAATTATGTATATAACTTTAATTTCTTTTAGTTTTCTTTAAGACTTAAGTAACTGGGGCAGTGAAGCAAATGTGCTGTTATTTCTTGGGTTGTCTTTTCAGATGCAATTTGTGGAAAAAAACAATGATGCTTTGCACATGTCCCTTGAATCTCTTATTTGTGAATCCAAGGACAAGTTTGTTCGACAGCTGTTTGAATCTAACACTAACAACAACAAGGATCCCAAACAAAAAGCTGGGAAACTTAGTTTCATCAGTGTGGGAAACAAATTCAAGGTAACAGTATAGCAAATGACCTTATCTTCTTGTAATATTTGCTAGTTTTAAGTTACCTGTCTTAAGTAGAACCTAAGGTTGGGAGAACTAGTGGTAACTTGAGATTCAGATAAAGAAAATTTTGTTAAATAGATTTTTTTTCTATTGAATTATAAGAAACCAGTATATTCAAGCTACTTGCTATGCGTTTCTGTCAGAAACATGTTTCATAATAGTCCTTACAGAGATTTTACAGTAGTTTTTTAGTCAGAATTTTGCAAATCCACATGGACGTATTTATTCAAAAGGTTTAAAATCTTGAGATGAAATTTAGACTCTGTGGACTTTAAGGGATTCTGAATGTGAGAAAAGGTATTCTTCCTTCCTCTCTTAATTGTGCATTCTAGAAGATGTATCAATTGGCTACAGTTCGCCATTCTCAAAATTCAATACCTAACCTAACTACTGTTTTTCCTCTTCTAAAGTATAAAGGTAGTCATGGCTTTCACAGAAGGATGTTCATTGTGCTGAATGTTTCCTTTCTCAATACCTGAATCTGATGCTTCTCCTCATTTTCTCCTTTCTTCTGCTTGTTGTAAAGCTGACCTTCAAACCTTGTCTTCTCCAAATGTTTTCTGCATCATTTTCTCATTCAGCAGTTTTATTTTAGCTGGACTATTCCAGCTCAGGATGGCTAGAAAGAGAACTATAGGGGAATTAAGAGATGAAAAGCAGGCACAAGCGTGGGCTGCAGGTAAATTTTTCAATCTCATGGATTTACTGTTGGTAGAGCTGCTGCAACTTCAGCAAGAGCTCTTATCAACACATCTGGGCCAGATCCAATGAAGGATTTGTATCCTTTCAAGTCAAGTGCTGCAACATTTTTGGTATGCTACCTTACCTAGGGCACCTAAAACTCCACATCATGTTCCTAGCTAGACTCCTTACACAGTCTGTGGGGAAAGTAGGTATCTTAGACAATCAAAAATTTCTTCTGGAGTGGGGCATTACCCGCTCTATGCAGAAGAGCATTTTTGCATTTCTTATCCATGTCAAGGTTAACTGCTGAATCAGGATGGCAGGATAAATTCCTTCTTGCATAATTATATCTTGTGGCTAGTGTTTAGAAGTGTTCTCTAAAAATGCAGGGGTTGAAGAATGGGAGGTATAGGGCAGCAGCACATTCTTTTGTGCAGCAGCAGTATTCTGCTTAAGGTCTACACTGTATTCAGTGATTTATGTCTACTGTATTTCCTGTAGTGCCAAGTTATTGGTCACTCTGACAAAGGGGATTCTCTTCTGCAGATGGGTTGCTACATAGCCAGAAGTAAAATTTTCATGGGGCCGGGAAGAGTAGGAATCAGAGCCAGAGCCTGACTTGTAGTGGATTTTAGTATTTAACTGGGAATTGGGCAGCCTGCTCTCTTGAGTTTTGCTCTGATGGTTATTTCCTCCTCCTTTTTATTACTTAGTGGTTGTAGAATTAAACTGTAGCAATTGGTTTAATAAATATGTGATCAGAATGCAGACTGAAAAATGGAATTACATAAAGTTAAGCCATCTCCTGAACAAACCCTGCACAACGAGTCTTTTGTGGGTGAAGCTAGGATCCATTGGTTTTTATTACTGCATTTTCAAAATTAAACCAATTGTGGTTTCTTTGACGTATTTTCCACTTTCTTACATCTGGGTTTACAATTCCTCTTGGATTTAGCACCCCACATCTGGTAGATGTGGACATGTGAGTGATAGCATTGTCCAAGGAGGGAAAGGGACATATTTTTTAAGTTAAGCAGCAATTGAGTGGGTAACTTTTTGGATTGTCTTTTGGACTTTGGGTGTTCACCTCTGCACTTCGAACATGACTGAAGTCCTCTTTGGATCTGGCCCATCAATCTATAATTCTTTGAATGTTTTCAAGTTTCATGGCATTTTGAATGTACGTGTTACTTCCAGTAATTCATTTAGTGTTACTTTCCCAGACACAACATGTGCTGCTGATGAACACTAATAGCCTTGAAAATTTCACTATTTCACTTCAGATGAAATCAAAATGAGTTCTGTTACCCTGTTAGAAATTTCATCCCTTTAAGAATAAGACTTCTTGTTTATCAGTATGTAAGTCAGTCTCAAATTCTTCTAATTACATAAATTATTAGATGATGTTGCAGAGACTTCTCTTTATGAAATCCTTCACACATCCCTTCCTTATAACTAATTAAAATTAATTCTCATGAATCATTTGAGGGAATAATGATTAATTAGTTAATCAGATCTACTCAAGAATCTTTTGGATGATTTTCTCTTACGATGATAATGATGGATTAAATCTTGATAATTCAAAGATCAGTAGTTTTAGCAGAATGTTTTATTCATATGATCATTTCATTAGTGAAATTTACCTGAGAATGGCTCTGGCTTATTTCTTGTCAAATCACAGAGTATAAGGAAGGGGTATTTTTTCACTAGCAGAAATGTGTTTTGTTGATGGAAATCAGGCTATCCCTTTCAAAATTAAGTATTTTTAACTCAAGAAAACATGAAGATTGTATTCAAGTAGAAATACAAAGAGTATGTGTAAGTGAGAACTGAGCAGGAGGTTATTAGTGTTTGTCATGCCTCTTGTGGCACTCCTTTTCTCTCTCTAACCATATCCATGATACGTTAAATCGATTTTATCACTGGAAGGACGACTGGCAGCTGTAGGTGACACATTGCCCATATTAATCTGGTTTCTTGGATTCAAGGTAATTGAAAGATCTGGTTAAAAATGTCAGTCAAAAGTCAGATCCTTTCAGTTTTGGTTCCAGTATGGAAAATGAGGAATATGTTAGGACATATGGCATTTTGTCTTACTTCAGTCTATATACTTAAAGCTTGCTGGTAAAGTAGAAAAACACAACAGTATTACACGAGGTGAAACAGACACATCTATATAGTAAAATTATAGATATTTTCCTGGTGTGGTTCTGGAATATTTTTAGTCTCTAACAATTACATTCAATAGCAACAGTAACTCATTTCCCCTGGTAGTATTAAGTCTCTGGAAATCCTGTAGACTTGCCCCCAAATAATCATATGACTGTGGTCTTTTATCATGACAGTATGTTTAAATGTAGCTTTGGTAAATGTGATTTTAAAATTATAGTCTATTGTCATCAACAGAGTATTACAAATTCAGAAGTTTGGAATTAAAAATAGATTATGTAGGTTCACTCACCTAAATGTTGACTTAGCTTCAAAAAACCCCAAGAAAACCCTGAGCATATCTGTTTTCTGTGTTAAATAATTAACATAAAAATGTATGCTTGTTATAGATCAAATTTGGGCTTCAATAAATTTTCAGTCTGTTTTTCTTTTAATTATTGCTGATCAGTCTTATTTTTTAATATAGTTTTATTACATAGGCTTTATTTCCTTTATTTTCCCAAATGGGCTTGCACTTTTTTTTTATAACTGTGTTCTAGTAAGTAACTAGTCCATACACTATTGTTGCACAATTAGAACACAATCAATTCCCGCAGGACCATTCATGCACTCTTGCATGATTTTGTCTGTTAAAATTTGTGAACGTTTGATTTTTCAGTTCTGTTTGATATACTAACAATGAACATGCATGCAGTAATGCTATACCACTGTTATGTGTGTATGTTTCTGTAATTGTCGTGGTAAGACTCTTGAAATACCTATTTTCTTTTACAGACTCAGTTAAATTTGCTTCTTGAGAAGCTTCACAGTACTGTAAGTATATATACAGATGCAGGTTAATAATTTTATGAAATAAGTCTTAGTAGATGATCTCAACAACATGGCTTACAATAGATGTGATAGGTAATTGCTTAGAGTTTGAAGTTATATGGCACTTCTGAAACATCTTCCTGTGCTGGTGCTGTTTATTGAGTTACTTATCACGCAAACCACCACCCTCACCCCCCTTTTAAAAGCTGTAGAATGAAACTTACACAATTTGAGTAAACAATATGAAACGTGTGTGGGCTGCAATCTCCTTTTGTGTCACTTTTTCCTTCCTTCCATTCACTGCTTACCATTGATGACTAATTTGCAGAAGATTTAGAGATGTTTATATAGAAGGCAGATGATAATTTGTTATTAATTAACTGTTTTCAGATTCAGTAAAGCTGTTATAGTGTTTCATTTCACTTTTGTGATAGGTTGTAAATGCACATATGGTCAAAGAACCAGATTCCCATAATGAGTATTAATTTAGCAGATGTAATTTGATAGTTTGTGGAATCTAGTTCAACATACCAATTTTTTTAGAATTTGGAGTTGTAGGAACAAATTCTTCTTTCTCTTGACTGCGTGTTCTAATAAATTCTAGATGCAAGGTTATGCCCTGTCAAAAAAAAAAGGGGGTGGAGGGAAACATGGGGAAAAAATGGGACAAGGTGCTGGAGTGTAGTTGAAATTAAGGTTTTACTGTACTCACGAGGCTGATCTGAAAGAAAGATGATCTCTTTCACACAGAGCACTCTGTAACCAAGACCCAATCCAGGGAAAAAGTATGTGGCCAGGCTTGCTGTACTCTGAATTTAGCTAACCTGTGACTGAGGATGTATTGTTAATATAAGATCCCTTGGCAAGTGCTCTCTCAGCTGAGATGAAAAAAGAGAGAAGACACTGCAAACCAGGAATAATATGTTTTCTCAGTCCCAATTTTGTTTTAGTATATAAGGTAGGTTATCATTAGCAGCCACCTATTACAGGAAAATCTGAATAATTGGGTGGTGTTTTGCAAAAATGTCATCCTTAATGAATGTGAAATAATCAGACAAAGCAGTGGTCAGAATTGTAGAGATAGCAGACATGGTGCTAAAAGAGGAGCAGACTAGAACAACATTAAGGGAGAAAGAAGCCACGAGCCAAAAGAAATTGTGAAAAGTAAAAATTAGAAGAAAGAAGGTCAAGGTTCATCTGGCATGATTCCAGTGTCAGGAGGCTGGCAGGATGTTCGCTAATGTGAACTCGGGAGGACTGAAGCATTTAGGTTTTGTGACTGTAGAAGATAATGAGGATAGTAGAATCTAGACTGCTAAATTGTAATTAGATTGTACTAATGTTAAGAAGAACAGTTGAGTGAAAACTCTAAAGTTGAGGGTCCAATTAATAGCTTGAGCATTGAGATCAGTTACATCAAGACCAATGCAAGAGTGCAAAACTGATATATGAGAGAAAAAGAATGTCAGCAATTCTCTATTAAAATACTATTATTTTGTATCTCTTTTTCCCATCACCACCAATAATTCTTAAATGATGAACTGTTATTTCAAAAGGTTTAAAATGTGTAGATTCTGCTAAATTCTTGTTTTGGTAATAGGGGTCTAGCTTTATTCGCTGTATCAAACCTAATTTAAAGATGACAAATCACCATTTTGAAGGAGGACAGATTCTTTCTCAGCTTCAGTGTTCAGGTAATGTTTCTTCTCTGTTTATTACTTTGGGTAGTATAGATTGACCTAAGTTTGAAATATGTGAGATGGAAGCAATATTTCCCAGCTTGAACAGTTGCTTTCTTGAAGGTAGCTTATTTATGTCTTACGAACAGTTATTTAGATTCTTGGTAACTTTAGTTCTTAGTAAGTTAGCTCTTGGTCAATAGAACCCTAGAAATAATTCATCTGAACAGCCATAAGGTCTCTTTTTCACAGGAAGAGTTGATGTAATTTCCATTGATTGCTTTTCTATTGATTATAATGAGAGTTTGTGCCTGTGTAAGAAGCCATGTAGCCATATATTGGTACATAAATTTAGATTTCCCAAGCAGGAGCTGAATCCCTTCTCTCTGTATTGCCCACAAAGTTAATAGGGCAGCAGTTCAGTCCAGAACAATAGAATTCCTTTAAATTACTGTGGCAGATGAAGTGTTAGAAACGTGTGCTTTTAGGGGCAGTCATTATTAGCTGAGATACCTAATAATTGAAACATACTTGTTTTCTTTGATCTATTAAATATTATGATAGAGTTCACTAGTACTATTTTTTCTGCTTTTCTGTATTTTTGTACTCAATTTTTGTGCTCAATGTTTCTTTCTTTTTGAAGTCAAGATACTTCCAGTTTCTGCAGCTGATGGCTTGGCCAGCCCATGTTTAACATATCATGTTATCATCGCAAAAGCTTAACAATTTTTCAGCAATCAGAATTAATACATTAACATCCCTAGTAGTAGGTTTCTGCAGGTTAACAAACAATGTCTTTGAAGCTTCCTTCATAAACTATTCGTTATCATAAAAATCACTGATTCTTTTGCATTTTACTGATAACGAGCTTTTTGCACATATGTTTCTATGAATTCAGGAATGGTGTCAGTTCTGGATTTGATGCAAGGTGGTTTCCCTTCACGAGCTTCATTTCATGAACTATATAATATGTACAAGAAATACTTGCCTGAAAAATTGGCTCGACTGGATCCTAGGCTGTTTTGCAAGGTAAGAAACAAATTCTTCACCTGTAATATTCAGGACAGAAAATGTACTGGGGGTGTGAGGAGTGGTGGTTTTGAAGGAGGCAGAATACAATCCTGACTGTTTTCTGTGTTTCAGGCACTATTTAAAGCCTTGGGACTGAATGAAAATGATTACAAATTTGGGCTAACCAAGGTGTTTTTTAGACCAGGCAAGGTAATGTTTCTTTTGGACTTCACAAATATAAATCTTAGAATAAATTCGGTTGGAAGGGACCTCTGAAGGTGACATTGCTCAGGGCATTGTTAAAAGTGTGGCCAACTTAAATAAGGTTGTCCATGTTTTTTTGTGTATAGGGTTCATTCTCAATGAAAAAAGTCAATATTAATACTGATACATGTTGTTTCATAGTCTTGTTGCTAATGCTGCTTCATTTGTAATGCAGTGTTCGTATTCCCAGACGTTCTACCAGTTACTTAAGAATTATGTTGACTATTAAAAAGAGCTAGTCAGAGCAAAGAAAAAGTATTTTCCAGTAAAATCTATTCATAGCTGAAAACTCTTGCTGTGATTCTGAGCATTGCTGTTGCTATGCAGAGAAAGATGAAGTAGGGAGCTGTTGTGACTAGAAAGGAAAATTATTGCAGTCCCAGAAGAATGTTCTTCCTGCCATAATTACAGAACAGTAGTGCAAGTTTTTGAGAAAAGGTTGCCTTTAGCTGGATTCTTATACAAAGGTTTAAAATTGAGAAGTGCTTTCAGGGCTTTGTTTTTATCCTGTTACAGAATTAGACATGTCTCAAAGTTGTGGAAGGCCAGAGTAAGTGTTCAGGATATAGAGAAAGAATTGTGGCAAAAATATTTTTAGTGATTAATAAATGGTTGGATTATTCAAAATGCAAAGTGTTGCGCATCAATTAAGCAGAAAAACCCTGTAGTAGTTTCTGTTATCATTAAAGAATCAACTGATGCCAGACATACCTGCTTACTTGAATTAATTGAAAACTGATACAATTGTTGCATACAGTTTCTATTAAAAATATTTTACCTTTTTAAGTCAACATGCTCTTAAATAATAGTGTCTAACTCTCTCTGTTCTCCTGATCTGTAAAACTCCATTTTTGTATTATTTAGTTTGCAGAATTTGATCAGATAATGAAGTCTGATCCGGATCACTTAGCAGAGCTTGTGAAACGAGTGAATCGCTGGCTCATCTGCAGTCGTTGGAAAAAAGTTCAATGGTGTTCTCTCTCAGTGATAAAATGTACGTATTTCATGTTTTATTAAATCAATATGTTAAAAATATAGCTAAGCAATTGGTATCACTTTGAAATGTGGCCAAGGACATGTAAGCAGATGGTTACATACTAAAGTCTGAGTAATTGATTTCAAGGTTGGTGAAATTTTTTTATTGTTATTTTTTAAATGCTTTATGTTAGGTACATACAGTAGAGCATAGAGCAGGGGTTTTTCAAAGTGGGACATCCAGCTCACCAGCAATCTCCCACGTCCAGTTTGTTTCAGTGCTTGCTGAAGCCTGCGCAAACACTTGCACAGAAATAACTATCTATCACAGGTTTTGTAGGGGAGAGACATCTGCATCAGCAGGAAAGAACAATAGTTCAACTCTAAGCTGACATGGAGTGACATAGTTCTGGGAAGTGCTTGCATAGAAGTTGTCATCTCCAGACAGAAACTGCATGTTTGAAAGCACTGACCTGAATTATGGGGCAGACATTCTCCCCTCCAGCAATTGCTGCTGATCAGCAAATAAATGTTTCTCACTATTGATACACAGTTCCTAAGTGATTGGCCTGCCCAGTTTACTGTGCAGACTAGGGATGAGGTCGTGTGGAATAGAGATTGGTGCTTGTGGGATGCTTCAATAAAGCTGTCTGGGAGATGGCGTGGGGTCTGGTGCAGGTTGTCAGGGATCTATATAATAACATGGAGGGTGGAAAGCATACATTAAGGTAGGGAAGAAGGACGTAAAGGCCTCGTGCGTTATGGCTGTGTTTGGACTAGCACAGTTGTGACATCTGCATCCATAACTGATTGGATAAGGTTTGTTGCTGTTATACCAGGGCAAATAGAATTTATAAGTTCTTTTCATACAGGTTTCAGACATCAGAAATTGTAACACTAAAATAACTTTTGACCTAGAAATTTATGCCATTTAGTCAGAAAGATAGGATAGAAAATCTGTCACCGTGTATAAAAAGTAGAAACCCAGGAAAATAATATACTGTTACGATGTACCTTACTTTTTTTCTAATGTTTTATGAGAAATTAGAAGCTGAAATAGATACACAAAAACTAGAGTGCATCTTTGTGATCACCTAAGTCCAGGAGTTAAAAACCACTGTGTTCACAAAACGTGCTCAGCTGATATCAAAAGACAGCATTGATCTTTAGACATCTATGCTTCATCTAATAGACGTGTAAAAATTTCATTTATTGTTGCACTTCTGAGCTGCTTGGCACGCGTGCTAGTGCCTGTACCTTGACATTATTCTGTTTAACCTCTCTCCTGATCCCAGCCATTTGCGTTTTTAGATGAAGACGATACTGGAAGAACAGCTGGAGGTTTTGTTTTGTGTCGTTTAATTTCAGTATTGCAGAGAAATGCTCAGAAAAGTTGCAGCTACTTTATTATCTCTAGCAGATACTGGCTACTTGATTACCCTTCAACACAGTACTTAGACCTTATGCTGAACACTTTCTGCTTGCTAGGTCCAGTGACTTTTCACTGAGGTTACTGATGTCTGTGAATCTGGAAGGGGGTGTGTGTGTGCATGCATGCGTGCGGGTGTGCATGTGCTTAATTATTCCTGTTTGGTTTGGGTGGGAGCCCCCATGCCTGGCTAAGGATTGTGAATTCTCTTATCTGCTGTGTCTTAAGTATTGTAGTATAGACCTAGCTCTCGAGCACATGTTGTCTGCGTAGTTTTGAGCCATTGAGTGTGTAATATGAGTTGTGTTAAACTATATAAGCCATCAAGCCTCAGTATGTTTTGTCTGTTTACAGTAAAAAATAAGATAAAATATCGAGCCAGTGCCTGCATTAAGATACAAAAGACTATTCGTATGTGGCTCTGCAAGAGAAAGCACAAACCACGGTAAGAGGATATTCCTTGGTTGAAGAAAATGGATTTTTAATAGTATTTTCTTGTGAGTGTAAAGAGGAGATTTACTATGCTTACCTAAATATATCTGAATACATAGAATGATGCTAAGTATGACTGAGAGACTTTAGGAGGTGCTGTGTTCCTCTTCTCTTTCAAAGAGTGAATAGACTAAATCCGAACCTCCTAAGAGATATTTGTTTAGCTCTTTGTTCACAAAATCCTTCAGTGATAACCTAGTTATTAGAAATCCTTAGTTAGGCCTCTCTAAATCAAAGTTAAGCTCATTATTTTTTGTCCTTTTCCCCATTCACACCTTCCTTTATAGGCCCCCTTTCTTTTTTTATCTTAAAAATAATTGCGTGCTCTGTCTTCTCTTGAAATTAAGTAGTTCCATTAGCTTAAATGTGACTGCATAGAATACTGGTGGAAAAAACACTTCAGTCATTATATTCTGCTGACATCTTTTTGTTCTTTGATAGAGATCCAACTCTCTATTCTTATAAAATGTTTTATTTTACAAACTTGATAAGTATGTTTCATTTTGTACCTTGGCGTTTCTCACTGTGGCCCTGTATTTCTGAGCTGTTCTGTACTCATCTTTAATGATTTGATTTAGTTTCTACTTTTTGTGTCTTGTTTTCCTGAATCCCAGTTCAGTGATTTCTTTCTAGGAAGACTGTCTCTGCAGTGTTGTAACTTGTATGTGTGGCCTTCAGTATTGGTTCTTAAAAAAGCTCCAAGTTTTCTTGGACTCTTCCCTAGACTTCTTCACTTAGTCCCTGTGCCCATGGGGTCTAATGACTTGGTTTGTGTAGTTAAGTTTTATCTGGTGCAATCCCATTATTTGAGTAAGTGGCACAACTCAACCTTTATCCACTCCAGTCAAAATCCTCTAGTGGATCCTAGTGATTTGTTATTGAAAAAACATTCCAAAACAACAACCAAAAACCTCAACCCTTCATTAAGTCTCACAAAAAAATGCCTTTTTCCATTTTGAGTTGCTGTCTGCTAATCAGTTTTAAGTAATATTTGCAAAAGTCTCTGTTGCTTAGTTACTGCACATGATAACTTTTGAATTTCAAAAAAAGAGGGTTTTATCAGAAGGCATAACTTTTATCCCCTGTCTAGCTGTTTAATGTGAGTGATTAGTGGTAGCTTTAAAATATCACTTTGTAAAAACGTCTTAAGATACAGATGAACTATCTTACCTTCACAGCATTGATGGCCTGATAAAAGTGCGTACACTGAAGAAGAGACTTGATAAATTTAATGAAGTAGTAAGTGCTCTGAAGGAGGGGAAGGCAGAGACAAGCAAGCAGGTCAAGGAGCTGGAGTATTCTATTGATGCATCAATGACCAAAATTAAGGTATGATAGTAAACAGAAAAATAATTTCTTATTACTGGAATCATTTAAAAACTTTAGATTAAGTAGAAGATTAATGTATTTTACTTAATAGAAAAGACATTTTAATACAGAGGTCTTAATTTTTAGAGGCACTTGCTAAATCCTCTTGAAAATTACTTCTGAATGTAACTGAAGTGATTCCTGGCTGGGTGCATGCATTTAGACTTTGATAATATTATCTGTGTTTCAAAACTGGCGCTAGGGAATATAAAGCAAAAATGCATGTTGATATTGTGAGAAAAGTGTTGTTAATAATTTGCTTGTTGCTTTTATTATTGGAATATGCATATTAGCAGTGTTTTAAATTAACTGGGGCTGAAACGTATAAGCATTTATCAGAGAGTGAAGAGATTTAATTCTGCTTACGGGTTTTCTTCAGACTTGGTAGTAAAGAAAATTCAGCTTGCTGATTATGCTTCAGGATCTATAGTTCTCAGTTTCTTTCACAAAAGCACACAGACAAAATTAAAGCATGCTGGGATTTATAAATGTTAGAAAAAGAATCGATGTGTTGAATTTCCGTTTCATGCAATATTATAGCTTTCCTAGTTTACCATATTAAAATTTTTCTATTTAAAATCACAGTTGAAAAGATGATAGAGTTAACTTGTCAACTTAGAGCTCTCTTTTCTAATAAAAATAAGATAATTTGATCATCATCATGAGGTACCCTCAGGAAGGGTCAGCAAACATCCCAAACTGCAGTTTTATTAGTATACCTCAGTGTGAATTGTAAAATGAAATTAAATTGTAGCTATTAATGAGGTTTGAAAACATATGTAGCAAAGGTTATTGTTGTATTTTCAACCTGTTATTTGCTACTAATATCTTTTTAAAAAAAGTTAGTCACAGCACAGTCCAGTACTTTTTTGGATTGCTAGCACACATAGTAAGAAAAACTATTCTGTGCTACAACATAAAAGGCAGAGCTGTAAATAACCACTCTAGCAGCTAAGAACATGAAACACAATGCACGTAGGAGGCCCTTAGTTTTCATTTTAGCATGGCAGGAATTAATTTTTGTTGCTTAAAACTGCATGGTTTAAAAAGCAAAGGCATGTTTTAAAGGGAAGTCATGCTTAATTTCAGTGATAAAATGGAGATTAATTTGTATGGTTTTATACGAGAGAGGAGAGTAATGGATCTCCAGGATTTTAGGAACAAAGAGAAAGCTAGTGTTCAAGCTCCCCCAGCCTAAAGTGCATATATAATTTAATTGTGCTACTCAATACTCTCATTTCACTTAATATTTTTTCAATATGCATGACTTAAAAGTGAAGTACAAGTGTAAAAGAATATAATCCCCTCATTATTTAATTTTGCAGACCACTATAATGACTAGGGAACAGATACAGAAAGAATATGATGCTCTAGTCAGAAGCTCAGAGCAGCTTCTGAGTGCACTGCAGAAGAAGAAGCAGCAAGAGGAGGAAGCAGAGAGGCTACGACGCATCCAGGAGGAAATGGAAAAAGAAAGAAAGAGACGTGAAGAGGAAGATAAACAACGAAGGAAGGAGGAAGAAGAAAGACGTCTGTGAGTCTTGAATAAGTTGCAGGTTACAGAATAAGAAGGAAATAGGAAAGGCACTTTAATGAGATCATTTTTCATACTCCTGTGCTTAAAGTCACTGGGATTGTACACCTGGTGCGCTATGCAGTGTCAAAACATTTCCTTTCCCAGTGATTTATAAGTGTAGTCATAATAAAGCATGGAAGAAATGATATGATGCAGCTGGAAATACAGATAACCTTGGAAAGTTTCTTGATCTTAAATACAGTGTCCTGTCATGAGGACTGTACTGACTTCTGGATTACCATTCAGTTTTCTGGGGATGCTTTCCTGTCTCTTGTTCACTTGCATCATAATAACATACTTTCATTTCCTCATTCTTTTTTGTAATAGGAAATCTGAGATTGAGGCAAAGAGGAAACAGGAAGAGGAAGAGAGGAAAAAGAGGGAAGAGGAAGAAAAACGTATTCAGGTTAATATTTTAGCTGTGTGGTGGTTTGATTTTGGTTGTGTTGTTTTTGTGTTTGGTTTTTTTTTTTGTGTGTTTGGTTGTTTTGTTTTCTATTTAAAAAAAAAATAATCTTTTTCACAGCTTAGGACCTCCACTAACAGCTTCATTTTCTAAATATGTGCCTGAGAATCATATAGCAGCATTGCTTTAGTAGTAAATGTAAAGCACAAATCATAATTAGGGCATCCCAGATCATCTATTTCTAATTTGTGTGCAAGTTTAGGTCTTCTGAGCAGAGGTGCATTTGCTTTTAAAGGGTTTTTAAAGTTATTTTAAAGTTAAAAATACACAACAATGGAGAACCCTAGTTTAGCCTCTGAAATTTTTGCCAATGTTCCATGACAGGCAAGTTTGGCACTCCCTTAGTTGAAATCATGCTTGGACCTTGGGCTGTGTCATGTACCAGCTTAACTCTAAACACTTTCAGAATATTAGTAATAATGAGAGGATACAAGACTGTCTCCAGTAGCCCCTTTGGCTACATTCACGTAGAATAAATACGTGCAGTTCAAACCCTGCTCCTCCACAACCTACCCCTTGATTCCTGACTCTTCTTGCTGAGCCCATCATGAATTCTCACTCTGAGGTGTGTTTGGTCCCTTTACCCTCGTGTTGCTGTTGTGTTTGAGATTGCCTGGGTCAACTAGGAGAGCAGTTGTAGAGAGAAAAAAAATCTTTTCTGTAAGGGCAGTTGTAGCAAACACAGAGCTGTGGTCACTGATACTTAGACTCTTTTAAGCCTTGGCCATGATTAATCAGAAGCAGAATTTTTCTCCTATATCTTGTTAACCCTGGAGTTAGCCTAGCATTGCTTATCCTCCTTTCGTCTGCATACTCTTTTCTATCCACTCATCCTTATTCTGGATAAGCAATTCACTGGAACTAACAGAGAAATTATATTCTAACTTTGTTGAAAAATGAGTCTTTCCTGTTACTGGCTCTGAACTTTAACAGCGCTACCAGCTTGCAGAAGTTAAACATAAAAAAGAGTAAGCTTCTGTTTGGTTAGTCTCTAAATCATTGCTTAGAGACCACTGCAGATGTGCCTACTGTCTTCTGAGAAATTCATAGAATACGTTTGCATTCAGAGGCAGTTTAAATGGATTAAACTTTGTCCACTGAGGAAGTAAAATCGCCTGTTGCCAGAAGGTTTAAAAACTTGGTCTGCTGGCACTATAGGGACCATCTTTATTTATGTTTCTTTGTTTCTGAGATGTGAATATCTGCAATGCAGAATGTAATTTACACTTTTACTTAGAAATGCTGCTTGAATACAAAGCAGATAGGTAATCTAGTAGGATATTTCTTTCTTTTACATACAGTTATTTACTCGTTATCTGTCATTCTGGTGGTTGTTCCTATCAGCTAATCTAAAACGAGATTCATGGGGTAAAGTCACTGGTGTTGCTGCATTGTGTTAGTGGTGCAAATTCTCAATGATGAGTGGGAAGTGACTTTGTCTTCTTTGTTGGCTTTTGGGCACCAGGAAAGGTACTGCTAAGACTTGAGGTGTGTGACTTTCAGAAGTATGAATTGGATGGTTGCATTTCACTTACTATGTGTGCAGGACCCTCTGTTAAATAATGGTGATAAACTGTAATTACAGTTTTACGCTGCAGAGGCAGTATATCTGGGTTGATTCTGCGTTGCAGTAGGGTGGACTTTGACCATTTGCTTAAATTCAAAGCCAGATCAGGTCCACAGAGGTTTCCAGTGTTTGACTTGATCCCTTTTCAAAAGGAACCACAGACCAATATGCAAAGCAATGCCTATTGCAAAGTCCTGTAATGCGAAGTGCAGAGTATCAAGGGAGTATTGTGTTAGTGCTATGGAGGAGTAACCATATTGCTCTGTATCATGAGTTTTAATGAACCTAAAAACTTTTTAAGTCTGATATTCATAATAGCCAACAAAAAGCTTGGTGTGTTTTTTAAGTAAGGAATAATTGATTGGCACTTTAATTTAAAGACATAATACAAGTGGTGGACAATAATTATTTGATAAACTATACAAAAACTAAGATGCAGTCTGTAGCTGTTTTGTTTTTCTTGGGAATGCTGCTACTTGGCAATGCTGCTACTTTTTCAGTTCTGTAAATTTGTGTGTTTTGAAAGCTGTAAATACAACACTTGGCATATTTTATTAATCATTTGCTTACAGAGCATTTTCATAGAATGGTTTGGTTTGGGAGCAACCTTACAATGATCTAATTATTTTGGTTTTGATTGCATAAGATTAAAGATGTGTTTTTATGAAACAGGCTGAAATTGAGGCTCAGCTAGCTAGAGAACGAGAAGAGGAAACCCAGCACCAGGCAGTGCTTGAACAGGAACGTCGTGATCATGAACTTGCAATGAGAATTGCCCAGAGTGAGGCAGAACTCATTAATGATGAGGCTCAGCTTGATTTAGGATTGCGCAGGTATGGGATTATTTCTGTCTCTTGTAAAATTTGTTTTTGCTTAGAAACTTTCTCCATTTTTCATCTTGCTACATCAATGGTTTAGTAGGTGCTTGTGAATATGACTGCAGTTCTCTTTTTGAATTCTGGCAAGGATAGTAACCAATTTAAATTATGATTTCTATTACTCATTGAAAGTAGTGAATGGAATTTCTTCAGTGGTAAGTATCAAATATGCCTTTTCTGGTATAGTAGTAGTAGTTATATCGGTGTCATGATTGGTAAGTTTTTTAAGGTGTAATTAATATATTTAACATAGATGGGTTTGAAAATTAAATGTTGTCTTACACATTTTTTTGTTTTATTTTGTGTGAATTCTGTCTCAAGAAGTGCTTGGCTTTTGGTATACAGATGCATGTTGCCTGCAAAGCAAGAGCTCTAAAGGATGATGCTTTAGAAGTAAAAATGGTACTTATTGGTCAAATTGTATAAGGATGCCTATAAACATGATCACATCATTGGTGACTTCATTAGTGCTAGTCTACCCAGTTTGTTCTTGTTGAAGGAAGGGGTGTAAGAAAATCCCAAGTGATTCCATGAAATTCAAGCTTCCAGATTTCTTCTCTTTGTTACTCAAATTTTGTCTAGGTATTTACTTTCTTTAATAACTGTATGCCTACATGGGATAGCTGGGTAATTCTTCCCCCCCCCCAATCTGGTTTTTAGATACTTCCACTGTCGTTTTGCCCTCAGTTATGAAATAGCTGTCACACTGCCTCAGATAAGACTTCGACATACTCAGTTAGATGTCCAAGTGCTTCACAGACAGCATTCTGGAGATTTTCATACTTTACCTGTTTGGATTGTGGTACAATATTCTGAAAGTAAACTCAAAGTCATGCTAGTGCAGCAACCTAGGCAGAGTTTTCTTAAATGTGAAAGAAGGGAGGCAAAAGGAAGGAAGGACTCGGACAATTCAGTAACTTTTCTGTCATCTCTAATCTCCACAGTGTTTCCTACTGCTCATTGATGATTCTGGTATTTGTCTTTCTTGTATAGTCCCAGGATGGTCATGAACTAGCCATCCTGATAGTTACAACTGCCAGTTTCTCTCTACCGTGTAGGTAGCAGTAGGAGCATGGAGATGGTTTCCTGAATGATTGGAGAGTGCAGAATGGTTTGAGTAAGTTAACATGGTGATGTAAATACTTTCTTGAACAAGATAATACATAAATCTAGAAAAAAGTAATAGAGAGATTTTTCTGCTTATTATGAGAGGTTTTTAGCCATTAGCAAACTTTTTCGCTTCTGTTTCTGCAGTCTACTTCAAAGAGTTTTAAGCATGTTCAAAAATTGAAGAAAGTGCTTTTAATTTCCCCTTTGATTTGATTTTGTTTTGGTTTGTTTAAAAACAAATGAAAACATTCCCCAGATGCCAATGCCTTCTATTCTACTGCAGGAATTTGCTAAAAGAAACTGTGGGAATTCTTCTCTGAAATTAAAACTATTTGTTGGTTTGAACAAAACACATAATTTAATAATTGAAATATAAATTTCAGGACTTACTTTAGCTGATGGCAGTTAAAATTTTACTAGAGTCTAAAGATGTTATATTCTGCCATCTTCTGTATTCGAGACTTGCACGTTACCATATGATACGCTGTAATCACTGTGGCTTTTATGTATGTGTATTTCCCTTTTCTGTTAAATTTTGCTTTTGTTAGATAAAGCAGGTATCACTCCGTACCAAATTAATGCAGTGTAACTGGTTCTACAGTGTTTTCACACAATTTTGTAAAATATAATTTCCTGCTTATACGTTGGCATGAATAAAAGGGTGTTTTCCATTGTGCTGAACTATCTGTGGAGTGGAAATAGCAAGAACAAGGTGAATTTGATGTGCCACTTTGAAGGAACTCGTTTGCTAATTTTTAGGGCACACGTGATACTTGTGCATGGTGACATGTTTGAAAATGGGTAACCTCTACTTCATTTCTTTTTTCCTTAATACCTTGCTCCGTTCATAGCTGTTTAAGGCTTCGTAAGTATTAGTAGTTTCTCTGAAAAATATGCTCATTGGCTGTCAAAGAAGAGTTGTTTGTTGTGGCAGTAGATCCAGCATTTTTTATTTGTGCTTGTTCTGTTCTAGATACGCTGACCTCTCCTAACTCCTTCCAATTGTATTACATATCCACAGTATGAAAGCATGTCATGGGGATTTACTTCACCTAGGGGTGAATTAACAGAAGTGCTTATCACTTAAATAAAATATTAGTTAAATAGTTAATAGTTAAATAGTTAAGTAATAGCCATGGGGTTTTTTTGGTTTGGGGTTTTTTTTTTTGTCCTGTTACCAGAGTACGTACATGAGGATTGCTGTTATTTCTTATGGTGTGCTTATCCAGGCATAAAATACAACAGTAACATGTCTCAAAATCTTTGGTTTTGAAAGATGGGGGGCAGGAAAAAAGGGTGGCGAAAGTTTTCACTTGTATGGTTTTTTCAGATTATATTAACTTTTAAAAAATAACACTTGTGATTGAATGAAGAAGGTGAAGAAAAAAGGTTTACATAATCCTGTTCCTTGGTAAAATAAATAAAAAAATCCTAAAATAGTAAATAAGATCTGAGAGAGCAGGAAATACTATGACCCACCTTTTACTTCTTCACATTATTAGCAAGGTAACTAGGAAGTAGTCTATCTAACATAAATATCTTCTATTTGCAGAGCCGATGGAGCAAAGCTGCAAATGACTGCGTATGGCATTTTTTTCTATTTGAATTCTCTAATAGAAAAAAAAGCAATACTAATTAATTCAAATAAAATTGATATTGTCCTCTTATTTACTAATACCCCATAATAATCTTCAAATCGATTTGTAACACCTTACATCCACTACTTTGCTGGTGTATAATAAACAAGTTAATAATCTAATATACCTAATAATATCTATTTAAAGATTATTATATAATTAGTGTAAACATTTTCACATTCCATCCATTTTTCTCTGCCCTGTGTGATTTATTTCTCTTTGGGAAATCAGGACTGTATGTATACATATTACAATGGAAAGGGATTTAAAGTAAGTAGCCTTTTGTTTTATGCCCTTGAATTAGCTTCAGTTTGGGTGGCAAGAGACTTTCACAGTTAAAAAGGCTGGTTTTATATTAATATGTCTGGTTTATGCTTATTTATCAATTTTCTTATAGGGAACAAATGGCAACAGAAATGTCAGAAATATTGTCTAGGTAGGTGAGAAGACAACACCGAATGAATCAATCATTTTATAAAAAGAAATCACACATGAAATGGGTTGAATTATTTATGGAATGAAAAATACCGGAATCTGGGCGGGTTTAAGTGCTAAGCAGAAAACAAAATTATTTCTTTCAGATAAATTTCCTTTATCAACACCTTTTTTTCAGCAATTATTTTTCTGCTATTTTAACTGATTATATATAGAAAAAAAGAATAAGAATAGTTCACGTACCCTGGTATTTTGTGTTCTGTTCTCTTTTCACCTTTCTTATAATGATAGTAGCAAACTAGGCTCCACATCTTTCGAAGGAGTGTTTCTACAGATTCACCACTGAGTTAATGAGGTTATTTAATGATAATGTAACTGTTAGTGCTGTTAATAAGAAGATCTTCAAGTTATAATTCCCTTCAAATAAAAGCAGTTTTGAAAATTAGCATGTTAAAAGCATATTAAAACCTCTCTTAAGACATCTAAACAAAATCCCCTTCCGAGATTTCTTGAATGCTAATGCAACATTTTACACACAATACAGGAGGGAAGGAGAATGGAGGTTTTGATCTGAATACAATTCTACTGGAACAGTCTCACACTAGTTTCTGTTAGAATACTAATTCTCTGTTGAAAGAAATTGTTATAATGTCTTCCATATCAGTGAGTAATTAGAAAGTATTTTGTGCAGCTTGAGGACAGAAATAACCTTTTGACATTCATTTTCTGAAGCTTACATAAGAAGTGAAATTGTTTAGAGTTTTAAAAAATGTATCTCTTGTTAAGCAAGGTACCATGCTGTGTAATGTAGTCTGCAGGTGATCGGTCTCGCATGATTGATGGATTTTCTAGTTGTAGCGTTGAAAATTGAGAATGCAGCTGTTAATTAATTTATTTCTTGCAGTGGTATTTTAAGAATAGGAATGAACAATGTTGTGTGTAATTAAGTTTGCATGTGAATTTAGCTGGCTGCTTTATATTGCATATATTGACATAGTTCCAATAACAATGACCAATTCTTAGTGTGCAAAAGATCACAGAATTTTGGGGCAAAATCAGAGGCTCTGTGTTTTGATTGAATTCAAGATACAATACTTCTTACTGCATGCTTGTTTAGCTTTATTTTTTTTGCTTTTCATATACTTGGAATTTTTGACTTGAGACTGACAATTCATTTTAAGTCTGAAAATACTGTTCATGATACTTTGTCAGATTGAGTGGTGAAAGATTGAACAGTGAAGACTGATTATCAAGTATGATCTGCTCTTACTGCCAGACTGTTTGCTTAAAGTCATGTAGAAAACAAAAGAGTGATCTGCAGAGTGCAGAGTAGCACTGGAATGGAAAGACTAAGCCGTTCAATTGGATTAGCATTCTTAAAGATTACAAGTTTAACCAGAGCTCTTACAGCCTAGTTCTGCTGCTCTAAATTATGTAGCAAACTCTTAGAGTGGAGTGTGGTGTTGCTAAATAAGGAAAATCCTTAGGATTTGTCAAATTAGGTTCAAGAAGGTTAGAGACCAGGCAATGGAAATTACCTTTAGCAGCAATCCTTTTATGTTGTACAGGTATGCCAGTAATAACAAAATATTAAAATATGTGTTTTAAAGGAGACTGTGTAGTGATTTGTTTAACACTTATGTGCAGTGATTAGGGTGTTCCCCTAAATTAGGAAGAGTTCCTGTCCCTCAACTATGTACTGATTAGAAGTCAAAGAGGTAATTTTTCATGTCAGACCTCTCAGACACCATAACTTGAAGCTGTGTGTTGAGTCAGATTAGTGGTATGAGTAGGCATAATTAAGCTGAAGCTGCAATAAACAGTAAGATTGTGTATTTTTAATTACATTTGGAGAGATGGTTCAGTTACTATTAAGAAGAACATTTGGTTAAACAGATTGTTTTATTCTGTGAAACTTAAATTGCCTTTGTTAACGGCTTTCAAAACTGCTACCTCTATATGAACTAGTAACTAAAAAGGGAAAATAACATCAAACTTCATAAGACCTTTATGGAAAAATAAGATTTAAAATTATATTTATTGGATTATAAATGCTGCAATAATATAACAGTCCCACAAAAATACTGTGGCACACACAGACTTTAAATAAAGAGGCCCAGTTTCTTCTGGTTTTCTCTCTTGTGAATTTTTAGTGTGATATTGCATCAAGTATCTTGCTACCCTGTTAAATACCTAGTTCATTCTGAATAAATCCTCTCAGATCCTGAAAGGTAATTCAGTTAGCCTCATGTTCTTAGTCAGGGGCATTAGCAGAGTTTGGTAAAATCATGTGGCTGTTCTTGAATTCCTTAGTGTTTAAAAAGTATTCTGACCATCACTGAACGTTGGAGTGTTTTGAACTTCATTTATACCCAAATAATCATGGGAGAGTTCTTTCACTTCTCATCCATATAATTTTTAACGAAAAAAAATAATAAAAATAAAAAATAAAATTCAGGTTTATCCTTTATATGGGTAACCTTACACATATTGTTAAAGATGATGGAGATTTTTGTAGTAATTTCTCATTTCCTTTTGGTGTTGACTTTGCATACTACCTACAAAATGAATACCTTTTGTCTTTGAAAAACGCTGTTTCCGGATGAATCTTTTTATACTACTCAGCCTTTGTTCTGAGAGTGGTCTTTTTTTATCTTGATACCTCTTGATTATTTCTTCTTTCCTCCCCCTCCCTGCCCTCCCCGCTGAATAAATATTGCTGTTATCAGGCAGCTAATTTATAATTAATACAGAATTAATTTGATTTCTTCTCTCAACTTAGACTTCTGTCAAAGGATGGATTATTTTTTCTAGACTTAGAACAAGGATTTTGTCCTAATCCAGTTTTAAACAGCAGAAGAAATGCCTTTTCTTACTTGTTGTCTACTCCAGAAATAGTTTTCCTCATCTGTTTTTTGAATGAACTAAAAATGTATATATGGCTACTCTTTGTTGCCTGTATTCTGCATTTTGACTAGTACTAAGAAAAATGTACATCAGCATGGGGTGATGTACACATAAATAGAATATGTATCTTTTCACACATAAGTGCTAACTATTAATGAGAACTCCTTTTAATGTCTAGGCATCAGATCAGGTTATTATATGATTTTGGATGTAAAAGGTGCTTTCACTTTCTGTTAATCATTTGAACATCTTGAAAAGAATATGATACATTGCCTTTGAATTCAATCCCTCTCCTGCTGATTTTCATTGTAATGAGCATGTTGCAGTGTTGATCATGGGATCTGTTCATCCTGTTGTAAAAAATTCCTGTTTCATACTTGAAAAAATGCATTTATATTTTTTAAATAATTGCAGGGGTCCTTCAGTTCAAGCTACAAAAGCTGCTGCTGGTACTAAGAAGCATGATCTGAGTAAATGGAAGTATGCAGAGCTTCGTGATACAATCAATACGTCCTGTGGTAAGTTTGGTTTGGTTTGGGTTTTTTTTCTGATTTGAGAAGTCAAGTTGTAATTATATGAAAGTTGTTACTTTTTTCCTATGACAAAAATGAAATCTTGCTTGTGAATTTTTTCAGGTTTGAATGAATGTCAAATTAATTTTAAAAAATTCTATTACCCTAAAGGAAACAGCAAACTTAACCTATTTCCATATTGATGAAACTGAATTTCCTTTGTTACCTCCCTTACTGATTGCGTATGTGTGATGTTAAACTGCTTGCGCCATGAAATACGCATTGTAATTTTTTAATTAAATTGTCTCAGTTTTCTGTATTTCCACAAAGTGAATAATGGTTGTTGTGCTTTACCTAGAATTTGTGTGTTGTAGGAAATGTTTTGCTATCACTTCTTGGTGTCACCAAATCTCAAAGAAGCAAATAGGTCATGTAAAGCACAGGATAAAATATTATCTGCCTTAGATGTTCAGATTATTATTTAATTTTCAAAATGTGTAACTTAATTTGTGAAGTTCATAGTTGGGACATTAATGACTTTCCTCCCAATGTTATGAAGATTGAAACACACTAATTATTACTTTATTAAATATTACTGTTTTTTCGTGCTTCTGACAGAAAGCAGTTGGTTAATTTCTGTTTTAATGTAATTGAGAATTTCTCCATGAATGTAGAAAATAGAAACAAACCCATTCTCTTCATTAGTATTTAAAATCTGAAGTTAGCTCCAAATTCTAACTGTGTGTCTATTGTTTTTACATCTGAAAGACTGGAGCGGTGTTTTTAGTGGTACAGTAATACTTGGTGCTAATGTGTGTTCATCCCTAGTGAAGTCAGTCTGAATACTCTTAAGATATTAATGAAAAAGCCTTTCAATTGTTCAGTCTCTTAGTATGATGAAATTCAGAAAAATTAAAGTATGCTTAAAAAAGAGGAAAAAGAACCTAGATCTGAGCAGTCACGTTGTCAATTTGCTTTTCTTTCAGTTGCAGACATAAAGTTCAGCAGAAATTTTATCTGTTTCTAAACTGTTTGACTTGTGATAAAGTCAACAGACAAATTTAGTGAAGTGAAAATTTTGTTTGTAATATTTCACTGCTCCACATCTCGTTGTAGATCAGCTACTTTGGGGAGTGCCATTACTCTAAAGGTGAAAATGATATATAGCACTAAAGGGACTTTCTGGGCCATAAAATACAGGTGCTGTTGCTACAGAGAATAAGAATTTATTATATGATATAACATATTAGTATTAAAACGTGCTCTAGAATTCTTCACCTCAATATAGAAAACCATTTCATAAATTATGTTTCCAATTTTTCTCACTTATCTCTTCCTTCCTTGTTTTTGAGACAGATATTGAACTGTTGGCAGCTTGCAGAGAAGAGTTTCATAGAAGGCTAAAGGTGTATCATGCTTGGAAATCCAAGAATAAGAAACGTAATGCAGAAGCAGAACAGCGTGCTCCCAAATCGGTTACAGACTATGGTAAGGAGAAACAATTTTGTGTTTGTAATATAATTTTGGTGACAATATGCCAAAGAAAATATTTCTAGAATGACTTTCGGGTTTGCTGAGTTGAAATACATTGTTGGGTTTCTTTCAAGAGTATTTTTTTATTGATCTAAGGTAAATATTTGAAAAGATGGGAACTGGCAAATGCTTTGCAGAGAGTACTTTCAGGAGACCCAGATGTACTGAATAGCTCTCCCTAAAACCTTTTCTCATACCATCTCACATCTGTTAAAAATAATTCTTGATTTGCTATTTCATGGCATTTGTGCTAAATGATAATTTTCCATTTACGAAACTGTGGTTTGCATTTTGAGACTTTAGAGACTTGTTTTTAAGGTTGTTTTGAACTCTCTAATTAAAAATGTTGTTTTCTGAGGGTAGTTAGTGATAGTTCAGTACACAGAATTACACTGAAGGGTAGAATAGAGGTTCTAAAAATAGTTAAAATCATAGAATTGTTTAGGCTGGAATAGAACTTTAAGATCATCAAATCCAACTGCAAACCTGGCACTACCAAGTACACCACTAAACCATGTCCCTAAGTGCTACATCTCCATGTCTTTTAAATACTTCCAGGGCTGGTGGCTCCACACTTCCCTGCACAGCCCATTCCAATGCCTGACAACCCTTTCAGTGAAGACGTTTTTCCTAATACCAAACCTGAACTTCCCCTGGCACAACTTGAGGCCATTTCCTCTTGTCCTATCACTTGTTACTTGGGAGAAGAGACTGACACCCACCTTGCACCCATCCATCCAGCCTGTACAGATTCCACTGTAGACCCTTTGTACCCTGAATCAGGTCGACACTCCTGCCCAGCTTGGAGTTTTCTGCAAATTTACTGAGGGTGCACTCGATCTCCGCATCCAGATCACTAATGAAGATACTAAGCAGAACTGGCTCCAGTCCTGAGCCTGGGGGAACACCACTCGTGACTGTTCTCAAATAGCCCATTTACCACAGAACTGCATGTGATTTATTTTTTTTTTGGTGCTCTAAAAAAACAGATTGGAAGGAATCATTCTCTGTTATGTAATATGCTATTATAGTTAGAGTCCTGACACAAGTAGAAGTGTTGGTGATAATGTTTTTTTCTTGTTATTTTATTCTTTTGCAAGGTATATATATGTAGGCACAGATGGAGATACTTTTAAAAGGTGCCAATAATTTCCTCATTTGCAGTACTGTAAGCCTTATATACTTCAGGTTACATTCTCTTTTTTAAAATCCTATGAGTGTTGATATTGCAATTTTTGATTCTGGGATGACAAGTTTTGTGTAATCCCTGCTTTCTTATTAGACTGTCATTCTGCTGATTTCACAGATGGGTGTTTATTGTCAAAGCGGTGCACTAATGAGAATGAGCGAGTGCCTTTCAAATTCAACAAGGAAGTGTAGGAGTTACTGTGTTTAACACTGCCAGACCTGAAAATTAGGTGCTTGGTTTCTGGAGCAGTATTTGCAGAGTGAATTGTTACTCTCTTCCCATTACCCACCCTTAAAGTCCAGTGATTGTCTGCTATAAAAGGAATCTAAAAAATTAACAGAATCATAGCAAATGGATATAATAATATAGTTGGATCTGTCCTGCTGTTTTCCAGTTCCATGATTCTTGTGTTCATGGCCACGCAGTTAATGGGAGAGGCAGAGGAAAGGGAAAATGGGGAGAGATGCTCTCCCCAAAGTCCCATTAGCCTGGGATTAGAGTATTGTCCCAGGACATGGGGGATACAGACCCAAAGGGGCACAGGTGCCCTAGTTACTCTCACTGTTAGTCGTTACACAAAGGTGTCTCCTGCCCCTTGATTCATTTACTGAGTTATGCATTGCTTGAGCATTACCTGAGAATTTGAACTCTTCAGGGAACTTTGGTATAGATATATGGCAGGTCCTTGTGGCCTTGTCTACTAACATGGTTTTAAGTGCTTAAGAAAATTTATGGTTGAAACAGGAGGAAAAGGGCATTTGAAGTGCTTCTGCAAAGTGGTAAGTTGCTCTAAATTTGAGTTTTGTCTGGGGTTAAATACGTAAAATAAACATTCATGCATGGTATTGCCAATGGGGGAGTATCTGACAGCACAAAATCTTTGGGTTTGTGCAAACAAAGCTTGGAATATTCATATTCTCATCACAGACATTTACAGCATGCTTTCAATGTTTTTCATTGCTTTTCTTTATTTTTCTTGTATTCCTAAAGAAAAGTTAGAACATTGCAGTTCAGAAGCAAATCCATGATAGTGACCTTTAGAGATTCCTGTTAGTGTCCAAAGTAATTCTTCCTATTGCAGATAATTGTACTACATGGGCATTTCACATCTATGCATTACAGTGATCTGAGAAGGTAGTAAAAAGAAACTCTGATTTCTTAGCTGTTTAAGCTAAAAGTCTTTCAGGCGTGAATGGATATGTGCTTCAAGTAAAATAGTTTCTTCCTTCTGTCTTTTCACTGATGTTGTATAATTTTACAGGTATCCCTTAATTAAGTTCATATGTTCATTATAGAAGCTAAATTTTGGTTTGCATATTATTACTGGAATAGGCAGATTTGGTATTAATAGAGGTCTGGAATTTTTTTCCTAGCAGAAATGTCAAAAATTAAAAGAACTAGATTAATTACTTAGCAGATTTGTTACAGCAAGCTGTGTTTAGCGTCTATACAACTGAGGTTTCATAACAGGCATTGCAAATCATTGAAGTAATCAATTCCAGAATTAAATCCTGATGAAAATAGAAGTAGTTAGATATCTATGAGACTTGAGGAAAGGAGACCTTTTATATATGTCTGTGAGCAGAAAATGAATAAAATACTTACCTCAACATCTGTCATTATTTTGTAGCTAGAATTTCCATTCGTCTGTCATCAGCATTGGTAAAAAATGTTGAGGTAATGAAACAATAACTTATAAAGGATCAGCACTTTTAAGTTTTGTTCAACATGTAATATTTGTTCACAGATTTTGCACCATTTTTGACCAATTCACGTAAGTGGGAAGATGGTTATTTGAGCTAACTTTGAAGAATAGGAATACTTGAGAGCTCTATACTAACATTTATTAATCCAGTGTTTTGCTACACATATATGTAAAATTTAATTGTCAAAAACCAAAATAAAACTAAACATGAAAACCCATCTATTTAGCAATTTGGTAATGTTATTCAACTGATGGTAATTGCATGTTAGTCTAGTAGTTTACGAATGTACTACTTAATGACATCTTACCCATCTGAGTAGTCATGGGCAGGAAGAAGAAATAACCTTTTTATGTACATTGTTTTAAGGTATACTTTCTTTTTTTTTTTTTCCTTTTTTCCTTCCTTCCTGCCCTTCCCCCCCTGCCCCTACCAAGAAATACTGTGCTTATTCTAACATTTTTTACCGTCTGCACATGACTTTGTTGTAGCAAAACTCTGGAATCAAAATAACAGCTACTTTTCTAGCACAGAAACTAACATTCAGGTGATTGTTTCTTTTGTTACATAGTACTGAAAAGTAGAAGCTATCTTGGCTGCTTAGCATTCCTGTCCTCTAGATTTCTTCTTGGATTTAGGTATGCACAGGTGTAGAAACCAGCCTTAGCAATTACCATTGCAGTGCAAAAAGCAAAAGCACTGATCTGCTGTGATAGATGTTCAGACAATTTGCAGAAAATAGAATTAGTTTCTTATAAACTGTAAAGTATGTCTCCCTGTCTGTTAGTCTTGTTCATAACTGTAAAAATACATTATTAGAAGTGATAGCCATTTTTAGTTTATTAGATTTTAGCTCAAAAATTAGCTTGGCTGCTTAATAGGCAATGGATGAAAAACGGAATTAACTTTCAATTACGCTTTTATGCTGAAACATGGAACTGTTAATACTGATTATTTTCTTTGTAGAGATGGCAAAGGTTCATACTCAGAATTTCTTAAACAGGGTATATATAGCAACAGTATTGTAAACCACTAAAACAGAATCAGTAATAAATTTTTGCAGGAGGCAGTTATTAAAGTAAAGGATCTTGGTTGTAAGAGTGTTTACAATTTAAACCTGATTATGATAGTATATACATAACATTAAGACAATTGATCAGATGATAGGTTAACATAAAGCATTTGCTTTTATTCAAAAGAAAGCTTCTCTCCTAAGTCTGAAATATGTGGGTTTCTGAGGGAGTCCAAAAATGCACATGGGAAATGTTTACCAGAAAAGTATATGAGCTTTAAAAGATTCTGTATAACTGTCTCCTCTAGAATTTTGGTCTGTTGATCTTAATGATCTGAAATAAATAATTTCTTTAAAAAAGAAAGTAATCAGAGAGTAGTTCTAATCAGAGAGAGTCTAGGACTCGAATCTAGGCAAAAAGTTATGTTAGGAGGCAGCTTTATAATAAGCAGTATTTGTTGTCGACATTTCTACTAACAAATCAGTAATTTCTAACAGTATTACACACCCTTCTGTGTTGACTTTCAAAAACCTTCAAGTGGTGCTTTGTATTTTTGGAACTGAAAATGCTTCTTTGCTCTGTGACCTTGTTTTGCAAAGAGATGGAGTGAATGTTTCTGGTTAGTAAGAAATTTTATATGTGAATTTTAAGTTTAAATACTGATTTAAAGCAGCATGTGTTATTTTATTCACTTTGTTTTGTCTAAACATACCTGATGCCACTGAACAACCTACAGAGCAACATATAGATGCAATAGTTAACAGGAACCTTTCCTCACCAGTGTTGTAGTTGGAGTGATTAAAAGAGTGCGCGTTATAAGAGATGGGAAGACTCTTTCGGCTTAATGAGACTTCATGTGACCTTGGATTCAGAGAGAATCTCTTAGGTTTTGGAGAGTTTGGTTTGTTTTTTGGGGTTTTGGTTTGGGTGGGTTTTTTTTCTTACTTCTTTGATGAATCAGGCAAGTCATAATACAGTTTTCTTGTTTTCTATTTTTTTTTTTTGTTTGTTTACTTCTTTTCTGGGTGTTTTTGGGGTTTGTTTTGTTTTTGTACGATAGCTCAACAGAACCCAACCACCCAGCTACCAGGCAGACAACAGGAGATTGAAATAAACAGGCAGCAGCGTTACTTCCGCATTCCCTTCATCCGTCCCGCGGACCAATACAAAGATCCCCAGAACAAGAAGAAGGGTTGGTGGTATGCGCATTTTGATGGGCCGTGGATTGCTCGACAAATGGAACTTCATCCTGACAAGGCACCTATTCTCCTTGTAGCGGGTTGGTATTGAGAGCAAAATTCAGATGTTGAAAAGGTTCAGAGCTGATAACTTTAGAAGAGGCTGATAATACAAGTTTCCCACATTGTATCCTTATTTTTACATCAACAGTTCTTGTCTATGCAGAATGTGAGGATTTGGGACTGCTGTTAATAGTGGCCAAATGTTACAGAATATCCCTTGGAGATGTAACTGATCATGTGTTTTACTTGTACATGTACTTTAATCTGGGAAGTCATAGAGTGGGAATCCAAATGTGAATTGCTTTATTATTAGGTGTCCTCCGATTATTCACAGGAGACGGTGTGAAGATAAAACATCACAATTTATCTGGGAAAGTTCTACCCATCATTGCACTGATTGTTTTTTAGTCTGCTTTGAAAAGTTACAGCAGTTTGCACCAAAACAATTTGTGCATGTGATATATTGTCTTTCTGGTTTCTTTAGTATGATGCTGATAGCAAATTGATGCTTTTGCCACGTTTATGCTGCCTAGTAGGGGAGAGCAACTTTTTAATCTTAAACGTCTAAAATACTAAATGTGTCAATGGATAGGTAGAGATTCATCTGGTGATGAAATGCCCCCTTCTTTTCTGGAGGATAATAAAAGGGGAGAAAACACTGGAGAAATGCTGTTTACTGTTCTGTGTTTTGAGGTTTTTTTATTTAACGTAGAGACTGCGGAAAAGGCCATAGCCAATTTGTTTAGCTTCAAAGTGATGCTTTGCTAGCAACAAATCTTCCTTTGTTTTCTGCTAATTATTTTTAATAGAATTCCAAATAGCAACTGTGCCTGTTCAATGTCAAAGCCCCTAGCTAAAAGTAACACTGCCGTCATGAATGTCACATGCAATGGATCGCCTATTAAAAGTAAGATTAAAATATAGTGAGTGAGCTGCACTCCTTATTTCATTGGATTCCCTGTGTCAGTCCCATTTGGTAAATACTGCTTATTTAGCCTGGCAGGCTGATAGATTAAGAATACTGGCTACTTGATCAAAAGTCTCAAGTTCTTCATTGCTTTGCCTCTTTTAAACAAAATAAATAAGAACAGGAATTTACTCTAAAGCTGCATAAAACTCAAAAGTAGGTGTAAAACAAATGCGGTTTTCATCCTGCAGTGGATTTCAGTGGATATATCAAGATGCTGATCTTCTCTGCTTCTTTCCTTTGTTCCTTTTTGCTCGCTTTTTGGGAAATCTAATTAAGAAAGATCTAATCTTTGTTAATGGGACGTTTGAATGATATAAAACCTTTTTTTCTTTTTCCCTTCACCATTTCAGGTAAGGATGATATGGATATGTGTGAGCTTAATCTTGAAGAGACTGGCTTACCTCGAAAGCGAGGTGCTGAAATTTTGCCGAGACAGTTTGAAGAGATTTGGGAGCGCTGTGGAGGTATCCAGTATCTTCAGAATGCCATTGAAAGCCGACAGGCTCGCCCTACATATGCTACAGCTATGCTGCAGAACCTGTTGAAATAAATGGTCATTTTGCACAGTAGCGTTTGAGAGAACCCTTGCCCCTGATACAAAGGGAAGAGTTCCTCTGCACTACAGAGGACGTAAACATTCTATAATCATATTAGAGATGTTTAATATAAAGTGAACAGATTTTATTAATCATGAGGTTTGTTAATTTGTACTTTATGATGTTTAATTTGTGTAGTGACCTTCACTAGGTATGAGGACCTTGAAGAAACTTCAGTCAGTGTAGTTTGTTGCGTTTTGTTTATATGTTGCATTTTCTTTAACAGTTTCTGTTATAACTCTTAATGCTTGGGTACATATTGCTAAGAACTGCATTGCAACCACCTTTTTGTAAAATCCCACTTTAAAACACTGAGTAGTCAGCTTCAAGTGGTGGCCTAGTAAAGAGGATATGCTGTTTGTAATAACTGGAATCGTGAGGCCTTAGCTTTGACTTCTGTTCTGGAGAAGTTGGAGTATACTTTTATATAATCTGAGACATTTTATGTCCTGATATGAAAACTGGTTAGTGTCTGTATTTACTGACTTTTTCCAGAAAATGATGGGAAATCCTCCTAAACTTGAGACCCATAAATTCCTATTTAATGTGTTCTCTGTCTTGGTTTAAGAGACATGGGTTTCTGTACATTCTGAGAAGAGCATTCATATATGTCAATACTGTGTGATATTGGAGGTACTCAAAGAATGTACTGCTCATTAGGGCTTATACCACTTCTCTCTTAGCTTCTTTTTCTTTTTTTTTTTTCTCTTTCAGTACAAATTTCCATATACTTTTCTTTTCTTGACCAACTTTCCATTAGGAATTCTTGAACAGTTTGTTTATCCAGGTAGTGTAATTTCAATATATTGTTCAGAACTGTCCAAGACTTGTATCTGGAGGCATATAAGATTCAGGATAGCATAAGGGAAATATGTTCAGCTTTCTGGTGGCAGTATAATTTACCTGAATATAGAGGCCTGAGCCTCAGAGATCCTGTTTATTTTAGTTGTAACGAGATGCTCAAGGTCTGTACCTTCTGTAGATTGTATAAAACTTTGGTCCGATAACATAAGGCATCATCTTAATACTATGTGCTGATGAAATAGCTACAATTTTTTTTTTTTAATATCATAGTGATTCAGACACTGGGCTTTGTCTTAATCTCCTCTGTCGAGTTTCATAGCTTGCAACAGTTCCCTTATTAAGCAGTTTGTTGTGGAAGTTTTTGTGGGTTGGAATTATTAATTTCATACAGTTTTAAGATGCATCTTGTTCACTTATGAAAACATTGTTTCACTATGCTGGCCATTATTTCAACAACTTAAACGCGATTATTTATTATCTCTGTGATAGGAACTCAAAACATAAGTTGCTTGATGTCCAATTACTTATTCAACTTGATGTCAAAATGAACTCTTTATGAATTGACAAAGTTTGCTTACACTATAGAATAATTTCCTCGCTGTTTATTCAGATTGAAACCTCTTGGAAACTTAAGTATATTTATGCATTTAAAAACTGAATTAATAAATTTCTCTGTAGCACAGAGAAGGCTCCCAATCCATACATCTTTTCCAACCTCAGATTGTGCTTGCATGCTACAGTCTGCTTTTTGTTGTAAATGCACCCCTTACTGTCATACGTGTGGAGATACTTGAGCAATGCATATGGGTCCGCTGCATCAGGGAATCTCAGCTTCCCCTGCCTACCCACTTCACTCTTTGGTTATGTGTTTTCAAACAAGAAAATGTTTTCATTTTACCAAAATTCTTCACTGAAGCAGTGATTTTGGCTGGAAGATGAAAGGAGAAGTGCATCAGACTGCTGGCTAGCAAGTTGTATACAAAGCTGTACAGTGTTGCATAAGTCTAAAGGTGCTGCTTATGAAATTAAGATTACTGGTTTAATGTGTTACTGAATTGGAACTTGTTTTCAGAACTACCAGTCTCCAGAAACTTGGCACTGCAAGAAGCTATGATTGTTCATGTGATACAAAGATGAAAAGTCACTGAACTGATAAGGGCCAAGGTGCCCTAGCCTGTATTTTATAGCTCTCTGGATTTAGCTTCTTGACTTAATACGTTCAGTCTCAGATCCTATGAGACTGAACATGGTAAGCATGTGTGTATGTACATACAGTACTTATGTGTGTATGTACATACACATATATATGCTTAAATGTTTTGGTATATATGTGTGTAAACACACCTGTGGGGAACTTCAAATAAATAAGACTGTTAACTGATTTTTCCCAGTCTGTTCCTTTGATTATGCCAGGATTTCCTTGACTGGCATCAGAAAGAAAACCTATTTTTCAGAATGGGGTGTACAAGAATTCTTGTCAACTGATCAACAAACAAATATTAGCTATCAGGGAAATTAAATTGACTTTGAAATAGTGGAAGAGGAACTTGTGGCTGGATGTTCTCTGCATTGCGCCTGCAGTATGCCCGAGGCAGGCAGAAGATGCATTCCAAAAATCAGGGTAGTCTAGTTTGTTTGTTCATTTTGTTTTATTTTTTTTTTTCTCTGCACCAAAAGCAGGATCTGCTTCGAGTTCTACTGATCTTTTTGTGCAACAAAATTAATTTTCAATTAATTTCAGATTTTTATTGGGTTTTTTTACATGTCAGGCAATATTGAGCTGCTTACAGATTATGTCTGTCCTGTCTACAGTGTCAGATAATTAAACTGCTGGTTGATTTGGAGAGGAAATAAAAGGTGAGGGGACAAGGTTGATTTGTAGGATTATAGTGTTCCTAGTGCCCTTCTGATCCGTGGTTATAGTGAAACATTAAATTTGTCATTTTAAAGCGCAGTGATGAGGTAAACACGTTAGCTTGGTTCTGTGTGTTTGATTAAAAGAAAAAATAATAATTCATCCTGCCTCTCAGTGAAGCTGCCCACCATAGTTGAGATCTTCTGCATGAAACACTCCCCAAAACAAAAGAAAGGTAGAAAATTGCTGTGTAAGGCTCCACCCCTGATTAGGTGACCCAGCAATAGGATTTTCCTAGAGAATGCGACTTCAAGATCACAGGGTCATTAAATACTTGTCTTTCATCCACTGATAAGATTGTTTTTCTTCACCTAGTTGACTCCTTTGGGGTTTTCTCCAAAATCTTTATTTAAAGTATTTAAATGACCTCCTAATCCTGTACTGAAAATTAAAAAAAAAAAAAAAATAAATACATTCCATGTTGAAATCTCAGTTGTATCTCTCTTGCCATTTTGTCTTTAAACATTTAAAGCCTAATAAGGTAATGGTAAATTAAGTTATGAATAGGATAAAAGGATTTCTGGGCTGAAGCTGCCTGCTGCTTTTCTATCAGAAATTTACGGTACTTAAAGCTAGTCTAGTAGAGATTTTTATCCGTACCTTCGAAGGTAAGCGTTCCTCTAAAATAACACTCTGATATTAAAAAATTACGGTTTTGTTACCTTATTTCTCAGTATTTGTTGAAACAAGTATCTTCTAACTTTTATTACTGTTTTTGCAACCTTTGTTGCTATCACTTCCACTATATTTATCGCTTGTCATGCTGTGTTCTGTATGCATCTTTTTTTTGGTTTAGATCATGGCAGTCGGTGACAAGTGAAACCACTTTCGATGCTTTGAGTTTGTGTGCTGCAGGAAAAGCTTTATGTTTTATTCAGACTTTGATACCTGGGAAGATATAATTGTCTTTCCCTTTCTCTATGGCTTTCAACTGTAGCTTTACATCAGTTTTAAGGTAACGTGATGTGTTTTAGTGTGAGATTAAATACCAATTCAATTCCGTGTGAAATTTTCAAGTAAATAGTTTTATTATATTTTATTGAAATACAAAAAGGCGTACATCCAGCAAATATATTTGGTAATTAATAGTTGAGAGTGATAAATACAGTCATGATTAATTGTTATTAAAACACACATTTTAAAAATACTTATTTTTTAATCTGACTAGTGAAAACTAGTACCAATTGAAATAGACTAAACACATACAAAAATACATTTGTGGTGGAAAAAAATTGAATGCTTTCAGCATTCTTACGCATTCTTAACTTAGGTGAGCAAGAGTGAAAAGCGAGCATTTGTTGGCAGAGATGACGTCCAGTGCCCTGCCAGAAGTATTTGTAGAATTTTATTCTGAAGCGTAACTGTGTAAAACCACATCTTAGATTTCAGAAACTCAACCGTGTGGTCTTGGTGCACTGCCTTCATTTGTACACAGTCACCAGCTGTGGTGGTTTTGCAGGCAGATCTGAGCAGTTAATTGTTTGGAATCGTAAACAGTTCTGAGCATAGATAATACGGTAAACTAAAGATCAGTCTTGGCTACGGTATCTGTGTGGTATGAAGCAAAAAGAATTTTCACTCAACTCAGCTGCTGTTCTGAATGCATGGAAGTTTCCCATCTGAATGAGGAGCTATCATCCAGCTTAGTCATGAACTTTGTAGGAGCTCAGTTTGAGCTGTAAGTACAACTTCTGGTACGCACCAAGCAGCAAGCAGTGCCTGGGTATTGTACAACACTGGTGTGGCATATAAATACAGATATACTCAAGAAAAAGATGTTCTAGGTAAAATAATAATCAGGATTGTGGATCCATAGAGCATAAATTACTAAGCCTATAAAATACTTAATGGCCACCCATTGTCTGCTTAGATTCCTTCTAAAAAAAAAAACTGAGTAACCTCTCAAAATCATTTGTGTGTAAAGTGTACGTGCTCATGCGTGACTCTGTAACCTACTTGCTCCTGGGAGGGTACTTCTGAATAGAAATCTCATGTTCTGAAAAGGTGAAACTGCAGGTGTTGTCTCTCAGCAAAAAGTTTGAAGTATTTAGGATAACCTGGCAGTTCAAATGTCACCAGAAATTAGACAGTGAAGTGTGTGTGTACATATGTATAAATAATATGTTTTTAACAGAAAAACTGGAATCTGATGTTCATAGAAGCCATTAAAAAATTAATCCCAACTTCTGCGTAATTTGCAGTGTAAGCGCTGTAGAGAGAGAAGGGAGAAGTTCCCGAGTGCTTTTAATGTGGCCTTGGGTCGGTGACAGTTCTTGATTCCGTGTTTGCCTCTTACACTGGTGTATGTGAGGGAGGTTAACAAAAGAGCATAGACGTGTGGTAAAGTTTCATCCACAGTTTTACCAGCATGGTTGTGACATACAGTACTGAAAGAAACCACTTGTCTGCAAAACCTGTTTCTAGCACTTGGCTTTTACATAAAAACACCATTAAGATGTGCAAAGCAGTAGAGGCTTATTGCAGGTGTTTAACACTGGTGACTTCTGACTAGGCAAAGCTGAGACGTGATCAAATAGCTGGTCAGTCTGGTCCTGTTGTTTTTCTTTAATAAAACTTTTTAAAAAATGTGTACTGATTTCAGAGCTAAAATATTACATCTTTAGGAATCCTTGAATTATTTTCATATGCGTAGTCAACCCGAAGTCCAGTCTTTAATAATGCAGACCTTTTTTTTTTAATACCTGTAAGAGAAACTCTGATAAGACATTTGAAAAGCATTTTTTTATTTGAAAGATGTATTATTTATCTACTGCTAATAGGCAGGGTCTCACTAAAATCTGTTGAGATGATCTCCAGTGCATGGTCAGGAGAATTGAATTAATCCTGAAGTTATTTTTTACATACTAAGCCACTGAGCTCAGAGTAAAGTTACTGTTTTTCCTACCTGATATAACCATGCTGTGCCTCTGTATGAAATAACAAACAAGTGCCACTGATACTTGAATCTGAACAAAATATTTTTGACTGTAAAGTAACGAGAATGCAGCGTGCTGCAAAGGAAACCCTATCTAAAGTATCTGCAAGAGTCACAGTTACAGCAGACCTGGGAGAAAATAATCTTCAGGATGTTTGGGTTACGTGCATTGTTCTAAGTGTCAAGGTGGCGACTGTGCCATGCAAGGAAACTGGCAGAACTTAACACCTGGTGTTCTCAAACAAAAAGCTTAGCACTTCCAGCTCTGTACCACACTTGAGGTCATCGTTCCCCTGTATTCTGGTAATGAAACACTAAGTCTCTGATACGGGTGGGGGAGATCTAACAGGCTAACTTGTGTTGCTGTGGTATTACTGTAATCCAAAATTTCAATTTGTTAGTGATCCAAGGGACTGACGTGAGGGTGAAAAAAATGGCAGTCTTTGGCTTCACCTCAAGTGTAATTTCAGCCATCTTTCTTGGTGGCTGAGAGTCAGTTTTTCAGAGGATCGTGCTATGTGTCAGTTACTGTTTTTGATAAGCAACGAATGATGTATTTTATATATTTCTTAGGGAGAATCTATAATGACTTTAGACTTCATCTGAATTAAATCAGTGAAGCAGTCTTTGTCCATGCCAATTAGATTCAGCATTAGGAAACAAAGGATTCTACCAGTGCTTTATTTCTAAAGCTTCTGGGCTGTATCACGTCAAATACTTCTGGGTCCTCTAAAATTTGTCTAAAGTTGTTAAACCTGATTTTTCTGCGGTAGCTGTTGCAGCACAGTTCTTTCACAAGCTTAGAGAAGTTTGTGAAGACTCTTTAGATGAGGTGCTTTTTCTTTCAAGGGTTAGAGCTATTACTGAATTTTGCCAGATAATGCCATGAAAAGGGAGCCTACTCACCCATGCTGTGTACAAGCACAAGTAAATGGTGTTTATACAAAAGCATCTGTTTGATCAGCTGAACAATATGTATAGAGTTGGACCTAAGACCCTTGCAGCTGTAAAGCAAGGTGCTCTATTTTTCAGCACCTTTGTTACTGAACAGAGAAGGTCCAGCACAGTCACTAACAGGGTCAGTAGATATTGCAAGAGAAAAGCTGTATTTTGAATGAGGTTGTGTCTTCAGCTTTCACTTCAAAGAAGTAGAGAGCACATGTGTGGGTGAGGTGGGCAGCAGAATCAGCTCGGCAGGGGTGTTTTTTGAGAACTTTAGCATGTTTGACTCCCAAATGTATCAGGCCAACAGAATGTGGGCTTGTTGGCCTTAAGTCTCAGTCTCGCATGTTTGACTCCCAAATGTATCAGGCCAACAATTGTTGGCCTTAAGTCTCAGTCTCAGTGAACTGATTCACTTGAATGTGTAAATTCTAGTTCATTGTCATGTTCTTCTTGGGCCCAAAGAAAGATGACCCTCACAGTCATTTTGTGCCTCGTATTATTCTATTGGTGGAGTGAGATGCGCCAAATTCCCAGAGACCTCACCATGTGTAGAGACAGCTTTGGTTTTCAGCTGCTTGTAAGAACTTGCGTTATCTACTGAGCTTAGAGAAAAGGAAGAGCAAGTTCTTCGTCTGGACGTGAAACACGCTTGTTAGTTCCTGGATGACTAATTGGGTAAAAATCCAACCAAATAAACTCCCTCCGATAACCAAGTTTTGCAGTCATTTTCCATGTAGTGACCCTGTAATTAAACTGGAAACATTTTTCATGCTAAGGAAGAAACTGAAGGTCACTTTGGCTTCTGCTTCAATGTTATGCTTATTTTCCCATACACCTTTATAAATACAGAGCTGTATTTACTGTAGATAATATCTCCTAAAAAGCTGTCACTGCTGTCATTACACGTTGCAAAACAGAATTTAAAGACTGGAATTTTCAATTTAGCCTGAGAGTTCTAGATATCCACCTCCTCCTGAAAACTGAATTCAAGTGTCCTGTTCTGTTCTTGAAAATCCTAGCCCCAAGGGAGTTTTCTCGATTGTGATATGGCAGTGGTCTTTGTTTCAGCTAATGAAAGATGTGTTACACAATACATTTTTCTTCCTTCAGTGAATTTTTTCAGATCATCAAAAGCTTGTTCTATATAAGTACTCTGATGTAAACACCCATTTTGATCTTAAGTCGTGGTGAAAAATGACCAAAACCGCCTAATTTTTTTAAAACCCATTTCTATTTTCTGGTTGCCTCAATTCTCACTAAATTAATTTCCTTACTAGATCTTGGGAAGAGCTTTGTCAATATACTTTAGACAATTCAAATAGAGTCTAGATGACACAGGCCTGGTTTTCTCCCACAGATAAGCCATTTTATTCCTTTCATAAAATATATAATGCTTTTGTAAGTAGTAATTTTAAGTAGTTCAGCTGGTGTGAAAGTTGCTTTACAATTACCCACAGACACGTTTCTTTTTAAGATGGATGCAAAATACAAATTACAACCGTCTGTGCTTTTGTTTTTGTCAGCAGTGAAGCCAATTCATTCTTATCCAAACTGCTGCTTCCTGCTGACTTGTCCATCTCTATCTCTGTGTTCCAGTTTCCACCTTGTCAGGTCAGTCTGTAAGAACTGGAGACCCTGTAAAAGTCTGTGACCTGGAGAACCTGAGAGGCCAGACGTGGGTACAATGAAGATCAGTGAAACTGAATCTTTCCATATGGTATCACTACTTGTCCCTTCATTTACATGTCAATTGGCTCAAACCAAAGGTTCATGTTACCCACGTATTGGGTCTCCCATAGTGTATAGCTAGTGCCAGGGCAATCCTGTACTGATAATCGTCTCGTAATAATGGGTCTGTTGTGAAACCTTTTTGCTCCTAATTGGGCTGTGATTCAGTAAAATTAAAACGGTGAAGCCAGAGCTTTCTGTCTTCCTTTCAAGAGAACATATTTGGATACATGAGGTTTAAGTGACAATCTGGCAATTTTTAGAGAATTTCTTGACCCAGTTTCCCCCTCCTCTCCTCCCCAACATCAAAGATACAAGAGTTTTCAAGTTGTAAAATGAATGTTTGAGATACGAGCAGTATTATGCTCAAATTATAATTCCTACTTGTTCAAGATCTGTGTAGCTTAAACAGGCACAAAGTATCTTCAAATGATCAGTTACTGATATCCAAAACTTCCCCTTTGGATTGCATTTTGTCTCATTTTGTTATTTTAGATATTCATTATGTGGTTCAGCAACTGCCACGTTAGCGAATGGGTTTTCAGAAAGGAACTTTGTTGTATATAAGCACGTAAGAAGGGATTGTTGTGGTCAAATGAAGCATCCAAAACCGCTGAGCTTTCTTTTGTATGGAATTAGTATAAAGAGGCTTCCTGGTAACACTGACAAACAGGGAATGCAACAGACTTTTAAAGCTCTTGAAAATGGTCACAAACCTTGGTTTTGTCTGGCTGATGCTGGAAATGAGGAATGTCAGAGACTAACTTGTCAGTCCTGGCTTTGTAAACTCATCTGGTGACCTACAACAGTTTAAAACAAACAGAAACACTAGATTAATTATTTCACTAAATCACAAAAAGCACTGCAATAGGCTGGACCACCAAAGCCATGCAAGAGACCCGTAAGGAAAGCAGTTCTACAGTCCTGTTACAAAACCTATGCAGCAGTAAAAGTGGAAAGCAAGCAAATGAATTAGTATTTTTAGTCCTGAAATTACAAAGCAAGTGATTAGAATTGGATTTGAGTCAGTTGTATAGTTAATACATGAAAATGGACCTGTTATTTGAGGTAAGGCTTTTGCCGCAGGGTAAGAAAAGCATTTCCATGCATTTTACCTCCAGGCTGGTTTGTGTGTTCGAGTTCGTGTAATGCTTCGTGATCAATGATCTCTGAGGAACTGAGACAAGCACTTACACTGCAAGCCGTGTGACAAAAGCTAGTTATGGATTCATCGTGCTCAAAAGCAGGATTAATTCTTACAGCATTTTCTGAACTGCAGCTGTTGAGAGTAGGACTTCTACAATGCAGAACAGTTTTGTTTAGGTAAGAGTTTAAATTGCAAAAGGAAAAAAAAAAGGAATATTTTGAAATGTGAAGAAAAAGATTGTGAGCATCTTACTGCAAATTAGAGTCTCTTTTGCTTTTTCTTCTTAACTTAATAATTAAAATGATGAAAAGAAAAATGAGGCTTAGTAAGCCAAGAAGGAGAGGTTTAAAAATGAAGGGTTGTGTGGGTTCTGGAGCAAATTTTGCGCAGCGCTGTCCTTGGTAAAGCTCGTGTCTACGTACAGGGCATCTAAAATAGGGAGAGGAAGAGAACAAAGTACAGAACTTGAAGGCATAACATACAGAGTACCTCAAATGAAAACAAAGGAAAATCTGCAATTAAGTATAAGCACAGTATTCCCAAAATGATTAATTTTTATATGTCTCTATCAAATAATGTGATAACAAAGGAAAGACAATATTCTTAGATTCATGGGAGTGAGTGCTAAATTAAAAGACACTGATACATTCCTTGGCAGCCTACACTTTTAAAGGAAATTCTGCATTGGAAACGTCTCTGACAAATTTCTAGCCCCACAGGTGAAGTTCAAATAACATTTGTGGTTTACAACTGTAGAAGTTCAAGTGTGTTTTTGAGGAATGTCTAAATGCATTTTTGAGACTTATATTCTGTTTATTGGTGATTTTAATCTGAAATAAGAATTCTACCACAAATACTCCCTTTAAAGTAAGGGAAAGAATACCCATATTTTGTATGAAAGCACAGGGCTTCCAGTTAGTGGAAAAACTACTGTGGTCCTAAATAAATTCAAAAGCAGAACAAGTGCTTGACTAAAGTAGTAGGCTGTAATTTTCTCTCTGCAGACTGTACAAGTTTGCACAAGCCGTCAATCTGAGGCTGGTGGCAAGTTTGTAACTTGCTCTAATTCACAAAATGTTTTATTTATTATATTTAATACTTTTATCCTTCCAAATGATGGTTTGGTTATTACTGTACATCAAGTCAGGGTTTTTCTGAAAGGGAAAGGTGTTACTTTTCTTAGTGCATTGATCTTCAAGGAGTAGGTTTTATAGCCCTTGCTACTTAAGTAAGGTTTTGAATAGGACCTTATTAGCTCAAAGGCTGATTCTAATACTGAATATTGCAGCTTCACTGTGACTCTGCAAGTCAGGAATTTAGCAGTAATTGTGGTGAGTTCAGCATAATCTATTATCATTTCTGTGGTGCCCACTGGAGAAAATGAATTGTGGCAGTTATGTTGCTGCAGTGAAAATTTATGAATAATTTGCTCAGTAGTCTTATTTTTTGACATTAACCTCAAGTACACTTAAAGATATGTTGTTAACCTGGTAGTGTCAATATTAAGAGAGAATAAACAAGTGCAGGAATTTTAACTTCTCTCTTGCTTATACATGTGGCTGGTCAACTACTGTGTGTCAAACAGTAGTTGTCTACTACTGTGTAGTCTAGTACACAGTTTCACAGCATATTCTGGGTAGTCTTGTCTTACAATGAGATGAAACCTGATGCTTTGGAAAGAGAATTAATATGTTCAGGTACTGTGGTAGCTCTTAATATTGGCTTAACATAATTTCATGTAAAAGTCATTATGGAATGTGTAATCCTAGGGTATATTTGCAGTTAGGAGGAGCTGCTAATCTTCGAGTCTTTCCCAGAAAGCCCTGAAAGCTGCCTCAGCCTTCACATGCTTTATTGGGTGGTCTGGAATCAGAACAGGGCTTATAGGTGTGCTTGTAAGAATATTGATTTCCTTTTAAATATGTCTTAGAAAAATGTAGTTTCTTGAAATACTGCTGTGTAATCAATAGCAATGTGAATGTGTTATTTCATTTTTCCAAGATGGATTTCAAAATCAGAAAAGAATGCACGGTTTTGTACGTGTCATCTCTGCCAACGATGCTGAATTCCTAATAAATTTCTAAAACATAAAATAACTAGATTGTGATGTCCTGTGCGTACTAATAGGAAGAAATGGATTTGTCCAGTGCGAGGCTAAGCACTAAGAAAGGAACTGCAACGTAGCTCAAAGTGTCTGAATGTTGAGGTCTTGGCTTATTACCCTTGTCTTATTTTCATTTGCTGTTGAAAAGCGTATATTCAGCCTTACTTGTTCATGCAATAGATATATCGGGGTCTGTTAACAGAATTCAAGTTAAGTACTATTTATTTACCTGCAGACAGCTCCTCTTCCTGGAACTAACTCACATTTCCCCCCATTGATGCAAAGATGCGGTTCAAGCTCACAAAGGCTCCGGCAGGGTAATCCGTCTTGGCTTGCGTAACCAGGTTTACAGAGGCAGTCAGCCTCTTTTGTCCACTCGTTCATTATGCATTCGGAAAACTTGTCACATGCCATGAATTTGCATGGGTCTGCCTGATCAGCTGTAAAGGGTGGGTGAATCATTAGTTGATGCGTTACCCCGAAGAAACTTGGCAGTCTTTGTGGCAGCTAGAGAAGACAATTCACATTTACTGGCCTGCTACTTGTTCATGGTAATAGGAGGATGTAGCCTAGCATAAAAGGATGGACATACATGCTTCTTTCTGTAGATGACACAGCAGGCATGCGAGCTTGTATTTCCTTACGATTTGCTTACTCCGTCACTATTAAGCTGTGATTTTATTTTCATCTCACTGACAAGAATTTTCAAGTTTGTATATTTTTATTATTTTTTTACTCTAGGTGCTAGTTTTATACTCATGGATACTATGCTACAGCTTTGCCTATATGTTAGAAATAGTTTCAGCTGTAACAATCTTAAACACATAATTTAGGACATGAAAAGGGAAAGGAATTGGATTATTGAATATTGCACAATACTTTGAGGACTGCAACCTGGAAACACTGTCTAGAGAAAGTGCATGCTTGCAGGGCTCTATTTTTTTAAGTGATAGATTATCATTGAGAAAACTTGCAGGGTTTTTTGTTTTGTTTTTTTAAGTATTAATAAGGGATGTCTCTGTGAGATTAACGGAAAATGAGCCTGGTGATGTTCACAGAAGGCCCAAATCAGTGACAGCTTCAAGTCCTAACTTTACTTTTCACACAATCTACTTCTCCTTTCCTCTTTTCTTCTTACTAGAAATTAAAAAAAACAAGCCCAAAACCAAACCAAACCCATGAGGAGTCATTTTAGCACCCAGAGATGAGCCCGGTTTGTGCTGATGGGATGAGGAGGAGGGCTGCATCCACCAGTCTTAGAGAGTTAGTTTCCTGTAGGCTATGGGGTAAAGCCTTTAGAAGGCAAAGATGAGAAGGAGACCAGGGGATACAAATTACACTCTTGCCAGCAAACACTTTCAATAAGAGAAGAAAGCACGGAGAAGGCAGTGATAGCAGATATACAGATATTAGCTGGACTATGTGGCTTAACATTTTGTTATATGGGCTTAAAATTACTTAAGAAGAAAAATCTGTAGTTTCAAAAGAAGATTCATGCTGGATATGGCAGCTAGGACCTTGTAGGTACTGTCTGGGCTGAGTAGTTTTTCTGGAGCCACTTCATGTTCCATACTAGATGCTCAATAAGGCTAATTTCAGTGAGAAATGAACATTGCTTTCTTTATAGTGGTACTGTAAATCTCGGACACACATGGCTATGCTTTACTGGTAGAAATTAATTCAGCAGATCTGTTCACTTTTAACCCCTCTGTAATTCTATGGCTAGTGCCTTTTTTGTTGATTTTAGACTACTGAGTTTCAGGATGCTCTGTTTCCCTTTGCTATAGACAATGTGCATGTTGATATGGGATCTACTTTTCTCCTGCACTGTAATGGTATGCACATGTAAACTCTCACAAGTGGGCATCAAAAGTTACAAAGTAACTTTATTGACAGGCAAAGCCTTGCTTATATTGGAATTAAAAAATATAAAAAAAGACTAAAAGACAAAATTTCAAGTACTTTGTTCTGGTCATGGATACTACTGATGGGAAATTACAAAATCTAGTTTCTAATGAGACAAAAAAGGGGTTATTAATTCTTACAGATTCATTTCTTACCCCACACAGGATTGCACTCCCATCAAACCCAGAACACTTCCAAAGGAAAAATGGTTAAAAAAAGAGTTTATATGATTGAGGACTTGATTAAAACAGTGACAACTGCATCAACTGCATGTCTCTTGTAAGTCTGTCCACAGTGTCGATGGTCAGTTTACCTTTATAGTACTGGAAATAAAGGCCGATACTACTAGTAAGGAGACATGGGCTCTGTCGAAGCATTACCCAGGGTTATATGCTACAATCCTGCAGTTTTCAAAAGCTGAAAGGTCTCAGCTCATTTCCATTTGACATGTAGAGCTTGGTGTGATCATTTCACTGGGTTATGGGGTCATTTTTTCATGATAATGTTTCATTTTCCTTAACAAAGCACTGGGCTATGTACCTGCCATACCTTGCCATCCCTTTTGTGTTTTCACTTTGTTTAGATTACAAAAATAATGCATGCAAGTGTTTTTAAAAACCTGCTATGATATTCTTTATGGCATTATTTATGACCCATGCTGTCAGCCCTTTGCAGATGTAGAATCTTGATGCATGTTTTGGACTCAGTTCCCATCAGTGTTTCGATTTAGTATAATGTTATTACCACTAGATGGCTCTTACTTTCACAAGAAATAGTAATTTGCTTAAATTACCTTAATTTATTCAGCAGGTTGGGATTGGTTTGTTTGTTTGTTTTCTAAAGTAAAAGACAGTAGATCTTTGAAACATCTGTATGGGAATATACTGGCATTCTAAACCTAATTTATTCTATTTTGACATTTTACTACTGCTCATATGCCTTGAAAGAACAGCTCTCCCAGCAAAGTCATTGTGAGATCATTTTCTGGAATTAATGTTGAAATACCACATCCGTAAAGCAGCTCATATGGATGAAGGTGAAAGATTTTTATTTTTTTTCTATGTTTGCATTTTAGAAGCTTCTAATTCTAATGTTTATTTAATGACTATTCACTATCAAAGCAGAACATGTGGTACCCCAAAGTTCACTCTTTCTAGTGAACTCATTTAATACTTTGTTAAGCAAAACATTCATTTATCATGGACATATTTGAAAGTTTGAATACTGTGGTTTGTTAACTTTTTTTTACTACAAACTATTTATGCTCTTAGTGGCCACAAGGAGATAGGTAAATGAAAATAGATTAGAAACTGTCTACACGAACTGTAAATGGATTTTTGCTCTGGAATAATCAGAGATCTGTACATAAAGAGGCAGATTAACCAAAACTGCTAAAGGTGTCTGCATGCTAAAGTATTGGTGTAGTTCTTCTCCATGCCCATAAAATTAAATTCAGCCCTGAAATAAGTACCAGAACCTGAAAATAGATCCAGACTTCAATTTTATAAAGTAATATAGTTTTTGAAACTTTAAGCTTCTGACATTACAAATGTCCAGATATGTTGGTACTGACTTCCTGCTGTTTAAGAAAGACTACAGACTTATTTGAAAGGTACCAGACCAGGAGGGATTCTGGAATTCCAGTTCTATGGAGTGCTACATATAGTCATGCTCTGGTCAGCGAGCATTTGTAGAATCCAATAATTCCTAGAAATTATCTTCTTCTGTCTTGAACTCTGTAGCTCTTCAAAAATACATTTAATGACTCTTTAAATTATGGTTTGCTTACAATTCCAAAAATAATCAGAAATTATGTTCACATGCTCAAGTGTAACATTTCTGTAAGTCACTTCTATAAGCTGCACGGGACTGTTCTTCACACCTGCCTTTGCCCAGCCCTTATTCTAGACAATTTTTGGTTCACTATATTTGGCTCTGAAAAGCACTTCGTGTATATGGACAGACCAACGCCTCCACCTAGCATTTCATTATAGTATGAAAATATGTCTGTAGATAATTTGGGGTTTTTTACTGCTCCTTATAATAAGGAGATTTCTTCTTATACCCCCTGATCACTGGGAGGCTGTTGTTAATACTGTTATTTCCAAAACAGTAATGCTTCTGAAGCTGTAACAATCTGAAAAAGATTATCTGCTTGGTTTTTATTTTGCACATACACAGTCTTACCTGGCTCAATATCCAGGGAATAGCTGTCAATCTCCAAATTGAGGCGCTGGGCTGCAGCATCACAGAAATCTTCCAAAACACAGTGTACTGCTTCTGTGATATTGTATGGCACTGTCCTGGCAAATTTCATTTTGCTATTCACAATGACACTTCCGTTCCTGAAGTTAAGTATTTCCAATTGCTTAAAACCTGTGAGGTTGGACTGAAGGTATGGAAGTAGCTGCAAAACAGAAAATTGCTTTTTATTTTAACTTACTGTTAATGTCTACCTGCTATTAATTTATCTTATAGTAACTTTTCATTATTGAGTAAACACATCATGCATTTATTCGTCTGAATTTAAAACAACTGTTAAACTGTACCACCAAATTCACTTTTCTTTTTAGCACTATCTTCTTCTGACTTTTGCATCTTTCTCAATAATATATTGAGATGGATGGACAGCAATTTTCCCTGTAATGAAATGCACAGCAGCTGGGGAGTTTATTCATCTGGAAGAGAAAAAAATCACCTCACTCAAAAGCCAACTTTATTTTTAAGCATTCAATCCAGGCAGGTTAGGGCATAACATAACAGGTGTGTTACTGAGCTGACCTGCTGCCCTATTGCACCCATAGAGAAAATCCATATCTAATCCCATTCTCCCTGCTAAGCTATGATATATTTTAAAAGGCCTGTTTTTAAATGCAGTGTGTAGACACAAGCCCTAGATGTAATCAGCACTGCTATACTGTTGACTTGAAGCTAAGAAAAAGGCAAATAAATTACATGCCAGGCATATATCTGGAGTCTCTTGAACAGGTAGAAACCTTCATCACTGACTTCATGAACTTTCTTCATACCCTGAGGGCATCCCAGGTTTATGGAGCCTTTCAAAACATAGCTTTATAAGACTGAATTGTAGCAGGGTCTGATATTGTCAAAATACTCTGCTCTTCAGTGTGTTTCTTTAAACTGTGCCTGACTACTGCAATATGTTGTTCAAGTTGATTTTCACCCACCAATTGCATGAACTGTTGTTCTAGCGCTTTGTATTCTGTCGAGCTCCTATTGAAGAGGTCATCAGAAAAGTGCATGTTGGTTACCCTCAGGCTGAAGAAAACCACTAGCTCTTTGCCTTTGGCTGCGGTTGTCATGGAGCTGGTAGTTACATACTTCAGCGTAGGAGCTAGGGTGGCTTCTGCAGTCTCAGTTGTCAGCGCTGGGATGTAACCGCTGCCATGCTCCACTTCATCCAGTGCAGCTGTGCTCATCACACTGATGTGATCTACCTCAGCAGCAATATCCTGCACTCCTGTCCCAGGCGCCGTGGAGTCTGGTACCTCAAGGGACTGTTCGATGACCTCTGAGAGGCTGTAGGATGGCCTGGTTGCTGAAGGCAGCAGTGCTGTTTGGTCTGATGGTAGCACAGCTGTAGTAACATCTTCAGGCTGAGTGGTAGAGAGATCACTTGAACCAATAAAGAAAGGCAAAGTTTCGTAAGTGCTGGCTGGCGCTAAAATGTCATCGCCTGATGATTCTGGTTCATCCATGATCTTAACTGCTGCAGAAAAACACGGGGAAAAGAAACAGCTATTTGAAAAGCAAGCATAACAAACATCAAGCATGGAAACAACATGCTTATTGTGTTTCCACTGAAGCATTTTAAAAAACAAGCATTAACACTAGCTAAACATGAAAATGTTACTTTCATCACCAAGCAAAGTCTACTGGAATAAAACATCTCATCCACATGAGGTGGATTGAGTAATGAGATTTCTGTGGGTGCTCTGTTTAAGTAATAATCACACTTGGGAAGTATTTCCTGAACCATTCCAAGCACATTCTTGTTTTGAAGGTACCTAATTGCACTGTCAGTTTATATTGACTGAAAGCGTAGATCGCAGCTTTGAGCTGTCTGCTCAGATCACTTGTATGCTGGAGTCATTTTGTTCCCCTCTGCAAGAGGTTCAAACTATTATTTGCCAGTAGTCATAAACAGTAATCACTGTTATGAAAAACAGTGCAGTTTCTTCAGATTCAAACTGAAGAGACCAAATCTGTATCAATATACCTAAAAGACAGCAATACCAGTGAAAACAAATTTAATCTTAAGAAATCACCTGCTGCACGTGAAGCAGCCATTTGACCAGATGCTGAGCTTCTGAGGTCTTTCATTGAGGCTTGGCATGGATCTAGGATGTGTGATAGCTGTAGCGGAAATCCAAATCTTAAAGCATGATGATGAATGAGACTCTAATGAATTTGGCTTGCAGCTACCAGGCCACAATGACTTCACAGAACACTATGGCCTCCAAGCAACAGACATCAACCCAAGCTAACAACTTGTCCTTTTCCAGTGACCTAGTTAATGTGGGCTCTTCACATGGGACTTTTAGCAGCCCCCTCGTGGTAAAATTCACTCATCAATTGATAGGAAGGAAGTTTGTCTCAATTTGAACTCTTCCATTCCCTATGCACTAACTTCCTCCTCCCAGTGGCCAGTGAAGGTGGTAAAGGAAAGCAAACTTCTGCATTGGGAATCACCTCGACTGAAGGAGATGGCAACTATCCTGTCTATGGCACATTAGTTATGAGTTTCCCATGGATGTCTTTGTGTCTCTTGCAATTTCCTTGCTTCTAAACAAATTAGGCCCAATATTTTGCTTATTGTATTGCTGGTTTTGGGAACAAATTTACATTTTCAATAAGGAAAAGCTTCATACAAGATACCTGTTTAGTTTCTTGATGCTTAATTTAACAGCACATACAAACCCTTTCCTTCCTCCCTGAAGATACAATACCTTGGTCTAATGTGGATTATGTTCTATATAGGCCCGTTCTGTTAAGCTGACCACACTTCTCAAAACAGCAAGGAATCCTTCTAAGGCATGGTAATTGATTTTACTAGAATTAGATGCTTGAAAATAATTTTCTCCCATCTGGTTACCACTTTGCATAAGCCTATGTTAAGAGATGCTACATATATTTTTAACCTCTTTATTGTTTGTTATGTGTGTTATAGTGTGTATATATATATGGTGATTCAGTGATAGAAGTATAAAGAGACAAATAAAACACATGCTAATAAAATAAGTTAATATGAAATGAACAGATAGTATAATATCAATGTATATAATATTTATAAGTAATAGTATCAACAGTAACAAATTAAGTAAAACACATAATAGACTGACCAGTGGCTAAACTATCGGAGTAGGTCGTGAGAGAGCTGGATTTTTTTTTTTTGGTTCTGCTTCAAACTCCTGCTCAGGAGTCTTGAGAATACACCTCTAGGTAGTACTGATCTCTCCTCCAGGAAGTATTTAAAAATGAGATGCACCCTCCTAGCCAGTGACCTTTTGTTCCCTTTTTAGTCAATAGCGAGAGATTTATCTCACTTGAAGAAAAGCATCCAAACATTCTGGATCTTTTGAGGTGCCTGTATATTTCTGTTGACTTCAGAACATACACAGCAAATTTATGTACAATGCCTGGTTTTCCCCTTACATAGTTTCTGTTACGTAAATCACTCTCTTCGGCTCCTTGTGGCCCTGTTGATGATCAGCGATTTCTCTGATGTGCTCAAGAATTGGAGTGATAAAGGACTATTGAAGTTTTTTTGAAAACAGGAAACACTTTCCATTGTGTGATAGTTTGAAACCGAGCAGGGCAGTGTGCTTCTGGTGCTGGTGGTAAAATGCACTGGTAAAATGCATTGGTGCTCAGTGCGTTTTACTCTGGAATACCACTGAGAAGTTGTTACTGGAGAGTTCCCCCTTCCTCCTCCTACTCTCTAGGTTTTCTCTTTCTTATAAGTGTTTTGCATGCCTCAGCTAATGGAAGAACTAGACTTTTTTTGTCTGTTCTGTGGGGAAGTGAACTTCTAGAAACAATTCCAAAAATAACTTGGATATTCTGAAGCAGAACTCCTCAGGTAAAGCAGGCTGGAAGTAAAGTTACTACAACTGCTTCTATTTATGTAGTCACTACATCTGTAACTAGTGCAAATGTTATTCTGTTACATTGTTCTTTCAGATGGGTTTATTTATAATTTTAATACCTGTTTTTAATAGGTATTGAGTAACAGATGCTAACATTCTATTTCAGCAAGGTGCTGAGGAATATAAAGTAAATTCTTGCTAGACCAAATGTTCTCATAGCTACACATTAAAAAGCATTCTAGAAACCAGATGTGCACTACTCTGACAGGGGTAAGCAGGGAAAGGACACTTTTCACTTCACTGCTTTCTGGATGCATAAAATATTGCATGTGTATAAGGCAACTGCTTTGCAAGATGCTGCCCCTCTTTTGAAGACTAAGTTTTTAGCTCCTGTTACACATTCTTGCAGGATTCCACTGTTATCTTGCAGCACAAAGGAGGGTAGTCATCAAAGAGAGTTTTGAACTGTCCTGGACAGCTGCTGCTGATGGGCAAACATTTTGTTATGCTTTGGCACATGAGAACAAATCAGTAGGAGCTGGGTGCAGCCAAGGCTCTCGAGAGATCAGGTTGTAGGGGAGGCAACTGCAAAGCAATGGCATCTCACAAGAGGTACCTATTTTGCCCTTAATACTAGCTGGCTGATAGCAAGTTATTGAAGATCACTCATTTCTGTCATTATTTAGTACCCCTTTCCTGATTGGATAAGGCAAATTTTTATAGTCAGTTTTGTTACCATCAGTTGCTTGCATGAAAACATCTTTCCCCAAGAGCCTCATTTTAGCTGGCAGAATATTTGGAAACCAAAATGATTTAGTTGACAAATATTCCCACTTGATAAGAGACTATATTTCACTTATTTTGGGTTTGATATTTAGGGTTGACTTCTAATTTGTATTTATCAGCAGTGAACTCACTGGAATCAATGGAACTGTGGTAGCACAAAACCTGAGCAAATGATCTCAGGATATTTGGATTTGCCCTGAGGATCAGGAGTGCCCAGTCCGATGGCCCTTAGGGGAAAAGCTTTCTGTCAGGTTATAAACAGTTCCTTACCTTCCCCATGACGAGCTCATTCCACCACCCTCCCACATCCCCAGTGGCCATTCATGGCTTGAAATATGTTCGATTTTGTATGTTCATGTACAAAATAACAAACGAGCCTGGAGTACTGGTGATTCTGGAGAAGACGCTGAAGTACACTGCTAATGCCATCTGTGTGATGGGATGCAGAAAAAGACCAAGTGGTGCATCCTCCCTTACTGCAAGGCCAGACTGCGCTGGTCTGGAACAGGACCACAAAGTGTGTGCAGCAATATTTGTTGTAGTATGTAATTTGCACTGCTGACAGTATAATACAAGGGCTACAGTCCTAGTACCTCCTACCATAGAAAGCAGCCAAAAAAGAATAGCAAAGTGCTGTATGGTTGTGCATGCTGCATATAACACCAAACACTGCACCACAGCTAGATGCCCTAATACTTCTCTGAGAACTTGAGATGCTTTTCTCTTGTCATGTCCGCGTGTTTCTTGTGTAATCAAGGATATGGACAGATTAGAGAAGAAAAGCCTAGCGATGTTCTCTGATTACAAAGCTCTTGCTGTTACTTGTTATGCTGATAAGGAGTGAGAGTCACTTACTAGTTAAGGGAACTCAGAACAGATTTCTTAGCATTAGTGCTTGAGACATTAATGCAGGATGATCTACTGATGGGATGAACCTGCAGCTCCAGAGCAACCTTCTCTCAGCATGACAGCATACACATGGTCATGATGGTATGTTAGGCACATTATATTTTAGAATAAGGTAACTGCAGGAGAAAGAAGTACTGGAATGGCTTTGAAATTGCAGCAAGTTTGAAGCAGAATAAACATATACATTATGCATTTGGCAAATAGCCATGTATACGTGTGTGTGCGTGTGTATATATAGAGAGAGATAGTCTATACATAGACTATAAAGGTCTTCTGGCATCCTCTTATTACAAGCAAAGTAACTTAAAAGGCCTTGGGGGCATACCAAGATGATCTCTGTGCATGTATCACCTGAGTTCATATGCTGCCATTTCTTATCAGTCACTGTTTCTCTGGCTGAGTAACTAACCACAGAGGTGGTCTTAGACTCTTGCAATGTGGAAGTAAATGGGCTCACCTAAAAGACTGCTGAGTGCTTAGTGAAACACAGCACCAGCCCTGAACCCAGGGGTTACCCTCCCCTTCTCTTGGTTACACACTTTCTAATGTGTATCACGTTACTGTTTCAAGACTTGCAACTTGCTGAATTCAAATACGCCCCCAGAGTAACCATATTACATTAAGGTTAAGCAATAGAATGGAATTAAAAACAGCTGTCAGCAATAAAAAACTCAGTTTGAACTCTAAGCCACCACTGACTCTCCCCAAAAGATGCTCATTGAACTCTACAGATTTTTTTTTTCCTTTTGTTACATGGACAATATTGTACTGAAGAGAGTTTAATATCTAAAATTAAACTGCTATTGGAAAAGATGTATAAACACTGAATTAAGAGGCAATTTCCTGGGTGCATTGCTATATTAATTCTTTCTAAAAAGAGTGCTGCATGCAGACATTTATTCCCAGCTGAGGGAGTAAAATACAT